CGTGGGTACCACGGTTTAGTGTGACGTGTCCCTGCCTGTGGTAGGGGGGTTGGAATGGAATGATCTTAAGGTCCTTTCTAACCCAAACCATTCCATGATTGTATGATATAATAAATATGCCGAAGGCATTTAGTAGGGCAAAAGACTTCAGAGCCTGGTGGTGTTCGTGGCGTCTTACCTAGAGGTAGGAGTCTTCTAGTGGGTGTTGTGAGAGTATTATAGAATCATAGAATAGTTTGGGTTGGAAAGGACCTTAAGCTCATCCAGTTCCAAACTGGATGCCATGGGCAGGGACACCTCACACTTAACCATGCCACCCAAGGCTCTGTCCAGCCTGGCCTTGAACACCACCAGGGATGGAGCACTCACAGCCTCCCTGGGCAACCCATTCCAGTGCCTCACCACCCTCACAGGAAAGAACTTCTTCCTTATATCCAATCTAAACTTCCCCTGTTTCAGTTTGAACCCATTACCCCTTGTCCTGTCACTACAGTCCCTAATGAAGAGTCCTTCCCCACCATCCCTATAGGCCCCCTTCAGATACTGGAAGGCTGCTATGAGGTCTCCACGCAGCCTTCTCTTCTCCAGGCTGAACAGCCCCAACTTTCTCAGCCTATCTTCATGCAGGAGGTGCTCCAGCCCCTGATCGTTCTCGTGGCCTCCTCTGGACTTGTTCCAACAGATCCATGTCCTTTTTATGTTGAGGACACCAGAACTGCACACAATGCTCCAGGTGAGGTCTCACTTATGTATAGCCCCACGTATGTTAGGAGAGTGTCCTCTGCTGAAGTATTTCATTCTTGGAGTGTTTTCACTCCTTGAATGACTTGTTTGTTCCCTTCCTGAGCCTTTGAATATGGACTAAGCCAAAACATTGTATAGGATGTGTCCTGGTTATCAGTGCCCACCAGTGTTGGTGTCCTGTAGAGCCCAACCATGACTGATCTGGAAAGAACAAGGAGTTTGTTTGCCTTTTTACTACAGCTGGGACATCAGTTTAGCTTTCCCTATTGTATGTAAAGACAGAATTCCTTCTACATTGTGTCTTCTGTCTAAAAGCTTCAGTTTGCTTTTAGTGCTTTGTGTTTATTGCTGTCTTTCTTGGAGCATGTCTGTAGGAGGCTGTTCATAGAGTAACATGGTTCTGCTGATGCCCTCCTCATACCAGGCAGTATGTGGGTAAGAGCTTAGTTCCTATTGCTTTTGCTTTCAGAGATGTCAACTCTGATTATTATTGTTACTGTTTTAATACTCTTTATTTGTTCGTAATGGCAGCAGCTTCTAAAGCTTAGTAAAGAATTTGAGATATTTGCAGATGAACTTTTTTGATATGGTATTCGCCAAATACTTGGGTTTGGTTATTTTTTTAAAGCTAAATCCCATGGTTTATGTTTATATAGCTGAGCTGTCATAGACTCATAGAATCCCAGACTGGTTTGGGTTGGAAGGGACCTTAAAGCTCCTCCAGCTCCAAGCCCTGCCACAGGCAGGGACCCCTTCCACTGGAGCAGCTTGCTCCAAGCCCCTGTGTCCAACCTGGCCTTGAGCACTGCCAGGGATGGGGCAGCCACAGCTTCTCTGGGCACCCTGTGCCAGCGCCTCAGCACCCTCACAGGGAAGAGCTTCTGCCTAAGAGCTCAGCTCAGTCTCCCCTCGGGCAGGTTCAAGCCATTCCCCTTGGCCTGTCCCTACAGGCCATTCTCCAAAGTCCTTATGTTCCTTGTAAAAGTTCCTAAATATGATTAAATTATGCTGATGTTGAAACACTTCTTTTTTTCCCAAGATATGTCGTAGCTGGGGCTATAGTACTAACAAGATGACTGCACTTTTTGTTCCTATCACTGTTGATAGCATTCCTGTGGTGAAAGGTTTAATAATAGTTTCCAGAGAAGATTGTTCCAAGGGTTTTCTGAGCTGAGACTCTGTGAGGGCTGTATAAGCTCATTTTGAGCTTGTGAGACTTCCTCAGGTTTCGAGAGTCTTTTTATGCTGTCAGTACCAAAGTGTTGATACAGATCAATTCCTTCCTTTTCCACAGGTATTATTATCCAAGGGGTGAATTTATAGATAAAAAAGTGCATATGTTATTGTGTACAGCTTAGAGTTGGCGTGTTGATTTGCAAATTCCTGCTCAGGAAAGAAGGAATGTGGATTTTAAAGCTTTAAATATCCATATATTCAGTACCTGCCTTTGGAAAATATTACACTGCATGTCTGAGGTTGAAAAGTGTTACAGTAAATAAATATGAAAGGGAAGGGGGTTGTCAAAATCTGTGGGGTTTGCTTTGTTAATTTGGATGTGAGATGAACCTTCAAAGTGCTTTATGGAAAAGGTTCTGGAAAATCATTTTGACTCAGTTCAGCTATTTCAGAAAGATTAGATGATGACTTTAGCAGATCACTTGGAAAAGACACGGCAAAAGGTTCCAAGATCCAGGGTGTGGAAATTTCTGATCTTGTTTCCTTCCCTTTTCTGCCAAATATGATTTTGCAGTGGTTTTGTTTTGCTACAAGTGTGTTGCAGGTAGGACTGATGTAGGTTAAGGAGGTGATCCTGCCCCTCTACTGTGTTCTCGTGAGACCTCGCCTGGAGCATTGTGTGCAGTTCTGGTGTCCTCAACATCAAAAGGACATGGAACTGTTGGAACAAGTCCAGAGGAGGCCACGAGGATGATCAGGGGCTGGAGCACCTCCTGTATGGAGATAGGCTGAGAAAGTTGGGGCTGTTCAGCCTGGAGAAGAGAAGGCTGCGTGGAGACCTCAGAGCAGCTTCCAGTATCTGAAGGGGGGATATAGGGATGCCAGGGAGGGACTCTTCATTGGGGACTGTAGTGACAGGACAAGGGGTAATAGGTTAAAGCTGAAACAGGGGAAGTTTAGATTGGATATAAGGAAGAAGTTCTTTACTGTGAGGATGGTGAGGCACTGGAATGGGTTGCCCAAGGAAGGTGTGAATGCTCCATCCCTGGCAGTGTTCAAGGCCAGGTTGGACAGAGCCTTGGGTGCCATGGTTTAGTGTGAGGTGTCCCTGCCCATGGCAGGGGGTTGGAACTGGATGATCTTAAGGTCCTTTCCAACCCTAACTATTCTATGATTCTGTTCTAGGTTTGCCAGGAGTCTGTGTTGTGCTCCTTCCACGTGCTGATGATGGAGTTTATAACCTCCCTAGGTTCAGGTGCCAGTCCTGGTTCAGGTGCCAATATGGGCTCTGCCAGACCATAGTGGTTGGGCATCTGCAAATACCACTTCCATTTGAGGTCATTCTGCCCTGATAATTTATTTTCAACTGGTTCTGCCATACTTCAGCTATTTGTTGAGGCTAGTCTGGAATATTTTGACTTGTGTATGAGATGGGAACGTGTATCTCAGTGGTCTGGCTCTTGGCTTTGTCTTCTGCCCGTGCATGTTCCTGCCGGTCTCTGTGTGAAGGTAGTAGATGCAGAACCTTAGTGCCTGTTGTTTTGGAGCCCAAGTGATATATCCAGGACTTCAGATTCCTGCTAGATCCTTCTCCTTCAGCCTTGATGAAGTGTGATTGTCATCTCTGTTGTCTGTGAGCATAGAATCCCAGCCTGGTTTGTCTTAGAAGGGACCTTAAAGCTCCTCCAGTTCCAACCCCTGCCATGGGCAGGGACCCCTTCCACTGGAGCAGCTTGCTCCAAGCCCCTGTGTCCAGCCTGGCCTTTCGAGACCTTTGCAGAAAATATACCTCATTAAAATCTATGGAGAGGAGAAGCTGCAACTGCAGCCAGTGCAGTGTTAACTTCAGTGGTGTGGATGTGTTTGATTGTCACGTTTGGAGAGCAGGAGCAATGGAAACATGAAAGCAGAGTTTGTGTGGCTTCACTCTTTGTGTGGCTTCACTCGCTCTTTCCTATGTCCCTAATTCATGGTCATTACAAGTGATGAGCATTCCAAGTGCCGAGCCTGAATATCCATTTCCTTGGTGCCACAACAAAGGGTTGAGCATGGTTCTGGTATGTGCTGGGAACTCTTCATTAGAACCCCCTTCTGACCTATGGGTTTGCTGCTTCTGTTTGCACAGCCCTGCATTCAGTGGCCAGACAGTGCAGTTGTATAGACTTTGCATGGACTTTTGCACAGTGTTTTGCAGATGTTGAGAAAACTGAGTCCTTTGTTGGCTTTGCTCCCTTCTCTCTTTCAGTGGCACATTAATTTTTAATGTTTTTAAGTATTGCAGGTCAGTGAGTGTCCTGAAATGAATGATAGCAACTGTACTTTCTGCTTTTACATCCTTCTCCACAGTCTTTTGCTGTAGTCCAAGTTGTCACCACCTATTTATAGGTGCGGAGGGGAAGGGGTATTCATAGGGTTGTCCTGGCACTGTCTTGGCAGTGGGGACCACTCAGCTCTTGGACTTCAGTCACTTAATGTGGGATGACATGGGGATGGGAACATGCTTCTGAAGGTGGTGGCTGCCTGGAGCTGCCATGCTCTGATGTCCTGAGTGATGCAGCTCTTGGTACTTGAGGAATGAAGGTCTTAATTTGCACTAAAAGGTTATGGGGATCAGTCTTTTGGTCAGGAGGTCATCAAGGAACTTTGTGAAGAGTCAAGTAGCGAATGGGTGAGAGGTTGCATCATGGACTTCATCTGAACTTCATGCAAGAATCGTGTTGTTTGTATAAAGGAATAAGGAATATATATGATATAGGAATAATTTTAGCTTTTCTGGTAGGGAATTCAACTTTCTGGTTATGTGATGTCTACATAGATTTGGATTTGAAACTATACCATTGGTCTGATGGAGAAGCCATTGCTCTCAACAGTTGTTCTTCAAGGGCAGTCATCAGAAAGCTTGTACAGAGTTTAACAGGAGAACCCCAATTGCTCAACTGTGTTTTGTTGTGCTGTTGGTTTGTTTGTAGTGGCTCTGAAGTAACCAAACCCCTTATGATGGATCTCCTGAACTTAGGAAATCCTTTATGAATGCTTCGTTCTGCTGGAGACTAATGCTTGTCTTTGGTTTTTCGTTGCAGACTCACTGGACCTTCAGGGTATGTCACGGATGGGCCTGGGAATTACAAATACAAAACAAAATGCACGTGGCTCATTGAAGGAAGGTGAGTGTACAAAACCTGGGGCTTAGTGTTGCTCATTGTGAATTTTAGGTGAGGTTTATCTGCACTGACTAATTTTAGATCTCGCGATTCTTTTCTGTTATCCCTAAAATTAAATAGAAGAGCATTTAGTTATTCCTGGTAAATAAGTTGGTTTTTTGTGCAACTGAGCCCACCAAAGTGACTTCTGAATTACAGATTTGCTGTGTAAAATACCCCTCAAGTTGGAAGTCCATGTGGAACGTGAAAATCCAGGCATTTGTGTAAATAAGTGAAGAAACATGATTCATTTAACTGTTACTGTGTTAGGGCATTCAGATCTTGGGCTTCAACATGAATGGGACTTTTTGGCAGTATGTTAAAAAATAGAGCAAACTAAAGCCTCTTACTCATGGAGAATCAGTTTCTGGATGATGCACTTCAGATGCTTATTTATTCTCTGGGCCATGAGGACTTCAGAGGTACCACTGACCTGTTTTGCAAAGGCTTCCTAAATTACAGAAGACCCTCAGACCTCTTCCCCTCATTTCCTTCCTTTCCTGTGTTTGATCCTTATCTTCCTTACAGTGATTTCTTGCAGAGAATTTTAGGAATAACATATTTAGTGCATACCCTCATAGCAGCCTTCCAGTGTCTGAAGGGGGCCACAAGGGTGCTGGGGATGGACTCTTCCTTAGGGGCTGTAGTGACAGGACAAGGGGTAACGGGTTCAAACTGAAACAGGAGAAGTTTAGATTGGATATAAGGAGGAAATTGTTTCCTGTGAGGGTGGTGAGGCACTGGAATGGGTTGCCCAGGGAAGCTGTGAAGGCTCCATCCCTGGCAGTGTTCAAGGCCAGGTTGGACAGAGCCTTGGGTGCCATGGTTTAGTGTGAGTTGTCCCTGCCCATGGCAGGGGGGTTGGAACTGGATGATCTTGAGGTCCTTTCCAACCCAAACTATTCTGTGGTTCTATGATTGTCTTCTGATGATGCAGCAGTTCAGAGCATCCGACTTGTTGAAATACGTTTTTCATGGGTGCAGTCTGATGCCAGGACTGTGAAACCACTTTGTTTAGTTTCTCAGACTTTGCACGATCAGTTATGGTGCTATGTGATAAGAGCTGTGCATTGAGTTACATTCCATGCTGTTCCCTGAATCTGTAAATAGAGCACTTTGTGGATCGGAACGACTCATGTGAGAGCGTGGACTTGCATTGAATGCCTGTGAGCTGAGGTCTCTTGGCATCTGAAAACCATAGAATCCCAGCCTGGCTTGGGTTGGAAGGGAGCTTAAAGCTCCTCCAGCTCCAACCCCTGCCACGGGCAGGGACCCCTTCCACTGGAGCAGCTTGCTCCAAGCCCCTGTGTCCAACCTGCCCTTGAGCACTGCCAGGGATGGGGCAGCCACAGCTTCTCTGGGCACCCTGTGCCAGCACCTCAGCACCCTCACAGGGAAGAGCTTCTGCCTAAGAGCTCAGCTCAGTCTCCCCTTGGGCAGGTTCAAGCCATTCCCTTTGGCCTGTCCCTACAGGCCCTTGTCCCAAGCCCCTCTCCAGCTTTCCTGCAGCCCCTTTAGGCACTGGAGCTGCTCTGAGTACTCCGTTTAAGGAGCCTTCTCTTGTCCAGGTTGAACCAGCCCAGCTCTCTCAGTCTTGGAGGATCTGATCTTGGTGGATGAGAACTTATTAAAAGCCCAGAGTACACTTTTCCTCAGTCTTCTCTTTGTGTTTGGGAGGTTTGATGAGTGAAAGGAAATTGGCATTCATTTCATCTGCTTCAGACATTTATTTTGGATGAGTAAGTTAAATGCCTAAGCTCCCGAGATACTCAAAGGTAAGGGCTAAGCTGTTCCAGAGCACCATCTAGAAAACTGAAACCTGGCACCTTCCACTCGCTATTAACCAAATAAGGAGGTCAGTTCTTTAATGTGGTTAAGATCAAAAGTTAGATGCAACACCTCTTCATTTTTGTAGGTAATAAAAATACATCTGCAACTAGTTTGGAATTACAAGTAATTAAAGTAGGTTTTGCAGGAATGCTGTGACAGACAAGCCAGCCTCAGCAGTTCCAGTCCAGTCAGCTTGACTCTCAGAACTTCTCCTTCTAAAGGATAACATGACTCCTATTTTTAATCAGAAGTGAAGTGCTGCTCATGTGTCCCCGATAATGTCACCATAACTGTTCCTTCAGCCTTTGTTTGCTCTACTGAGGAGCTTCCTAGAGAGCTATCACTCTGTGGGCTTTGAAGTGAGATCTTACTTGCTGTGAAGAGGCGGCAGAAACGTTCCTCCTTCTTTCATAGCCAGGCATTTAAGTCGGTGTCCTTTTCCTGATTGTTTGTTGCCTGCTGTGAGAGGATGGTGGTAAACAGAAAGGAGATAATCAGGCTGGTTCAAGCAGCTGAAATATGCACCCTTGGGAAAATAGCCCAAGCTCTCTGCCAAAAGTGAAATTCCCAGAGAGATCTGGACTTGGAAAACAACATCTGCAGAGCTGTTCAATTCTGCTGGGTGCCCTCACCTCATTGCTAGCATGCCAGGATGTTGGAGGGCTTTTGGGGTTAGCAAGTAAAGGTATGACCCAGCCATGCACTGGAGATACTGGATAAATCCAGATGTGCAATAAGCCGTGTGTTCCTTGCTGTGTTCACTCTTGCTCCATTCTTGATTCTTCTGTGCTATGTCCTTTTCATTTTTCCCCAGCAGCATGAGTTAAGGCAGGTGAGATCCATCCAGCCTGAGGATGCCTTCTGAGGCAGAACCTGCAGCCATGCACCTTGCTGTCCTGCAGATGAGTGCTGTCTGATAATGAGTTGTTAGCTGTAGCAAAGAGACTCTCTTTTTGTTCTTGGCCTAAAGATTTTATTGATTCAGTGTTTCTTTCTGCTCTTCAACTGTCAAAGCATTACATTAGCAGCAACCCCCCTACAATTTCATAGCTGCTCCCTTTTGAAACGGTGAGTCCTCTTTATAGCTTTCCATTAAGCAAGATGTTATCCTTGAGTTATGCTTGCTGCTCTCTTTCCATAGGTCTGGGACAGATCATTGTGCCTTTGCAGAATAACTCCCTAAAGAATTCCCTTTCTGTGGGAAGGGGGGGACTCTATGGCAAGCTGACACATTACTAATTTATTTGATTAGGATGACCAAGGATTTCAGCTGAACCTGAGGGCAAATGCTGTTGAAGGGCTCCTAATCACATCTGTCCTTTCAACAGCCCCAGCTGTGGGTAGGAAAAAGCAAGGCTCTATAGTCACTCTCCTTTTATCTTCGGGTCCAAGCACAGTGCTAGTCTTCTTTTCATCCTCCTTGTGCTAAGCCCTAAATTAGGTATCTGCCATGGCTTCTGTGTGATTCTCTTTAGATGTTTCTTTGCTCATTAGCCATGAAACTGATAGTGTCTAAACTTGGTTGTGGCTTAGCGGATATCTTTATGTGTGGAGTGGAAGAAATGCTGATAAGCTTTGGTGTCTGAACTAGTGTTTTCATCCTCAGATCAAGGAATTAAAACCTTTTTCCTGCTGATGCATCTTGGGAGATCAGGCATCCAGATGGTCTTCTCTTGACTTAGTGAGTCAACAGAGTAGATCATAAAATCACACCGTGGTTTGTGTTGGAAGGGACCTTAAAGCTCATCCAGTTCCAACCCCCTGCCATGGGCAGGGACATCTTCCACTAGAGCATTGTGCTCTAAGCCCTGTAAATGCTTCTTGAAGGGTGGTGTTAACATTGGGGTGTGCTAGGCCAGCTGCATTCATCAGGAAGGCTGCAAGGCTTTTCCGAGGACTTTGAACTCATTCTGTTTTCAACTGGTCCTGGTAGTTTTTGTAACTCGTCTCCAGAAGAAAGCCAAGCCACCACATTAGATCTGTCAAGAGTGACGGGCAGTGTGTGGTTAGTGCCTGTTGACAGTCCACGTAACAACCAAAAACCTTCTTTTTGGCTTAAGTTAGATCTCCAGGGCCATCCATCCTATGGAAGATGGGTCTCCTCTGCATTCTTTTGTTCTGTTTATTTGTGCTCCCAGAAGATGAGAAAATGAACATGAACCGGCTTCAGTGTGCGCTTGCATCCCAGAAAGCCAACCCTATCCTGGGCTGCATCAAAAGGAGTGTGACCAGCAGGTCGGAGGAGGTGATCCTGCCCCTTTACTCTCTCTCGTGAGACCTCACCTGGAGCATTGTCTGCAGTTCTGGTGTCCTCAACATAAAAAGGACATGGAACTGTTGGAACAAGTCCAGAGGAGACGACGAGGATGATCAGGGGCTGGAGCACCTCCTGTATGGAGATAGGCTGAGAAAGTTGGGGCTGTTCAGCCTGGAGAAGAGAAGGCTGCATGGAGACCTCAGAGCAGCTTCCAGTGTCTGAAGGGGGCATATAGGGGTGCTGGGGAGAGACTCTTCATTAGGGATTGTAGTGATAAGACCGGGGTAATGGGTTAAAACTGAAACAGGGGAAGTTTAGATTGGATATAAGGAGGAAATTCTTTCCTGTTAGGGTGGTGAGGCACTGGAATGGGTTGCCCAGGGAGGTTGTGAATGCTCCATCCCTGGCAGTGTTCAAGGCCAGGTTGGACAGAGCCTTGGGTGCCCTGGTTTAGTATGAGGTGTCCCTGCCCATGGCAGGGGGTTAGAACTGGATGATCTTAAGGTCCTTTCCAACCCTAACTATTCTATGATTCTGTTATTCTATGATGGAGAGCAAGACAGATAATTTCTTAAGTTAGCATCCACTGAGGCGTGTTTCTGGTTTCAGTTTGGAGGAGCTTCCCTCGGGAAAGCTGTTGTACTGTACAAGTAATAAAAAAAGGATTTCTTCCAGCTTCTGGGCAAATAATAATCTCAGGCCATTGTAATCATATCAATCTGCAGAAAAGAGCTTTAAACTCTGGTGCGTTCCCTGATGGTGGCTGTGATTCTTCATGTGTAATGTACATGTAGGATTTCCTTCCTTGCCCCTGCAAAGCCTTGACATTAAGAGAGTCAGCACTGGTGAAGAGCAGTGCTTGTCCCCACCAGCAGAACTGAAGAGCAGGTTTAAGGACACAGTTTTTTCTGGCCGTGAAGAACATGTTGGTTAATCCCATGGGAGCATGCACCCAAATGAGGGAAGCCACATGTCCGATGCACCTACAGTTGCACCAAGTCACTCGGTTTTAGTCTTGTTTAAAGCAGAGCTTCACACCAGAGAAGTTTATTGGAGGGAGTTTGCCACATGTGTCAAGAGGTTAATTACAACCCTTTTGTTCATTATTGTGTTCTTACAGGCCAAACACAATCCTCAGGCTTCGATTCAATCACTTTGCCACAGAGTGCAGTTGGGACCACTTGTATGTGTATGATGGAGATTCAATCTATGCTCCCTTACTGGCAGCTTTTAGGTAAGTTCCTGTTGGTAAGAATCTGACTTGATGCAATGATATTTCTTCAGTTTGGAGCCTGAAACAAATGTGGCTTCCAGCAGTCTAAATATGTTCCAGTAATCTATATATATAATACTGCTAAGACAGCACATAGAGCAAGTGTCCTTTTGTGCAGTCGTCATCAGCATCGACAATTAAGGGGTTGTTTTTGCTTGTACAATGAATAAATCATGTTACTACACTGTAGCATGTAAAGTATTATGTTTTCATTTCCAAATCCTGATTATTTGAGAGACAAATTATTGTCATCTGGTACAGCTTGAGATGCTTTGATATGCAGGCTGCTTCTCAAGTGGAAAGCTACCCCGTTTATCAGGTTTGAACATGACTTAAGTTTAACTCATTGTATGCCAACGCTGACAGAAGGAAAAAGCCAGTTAATCAGTGTTGCAGATGTATATGTCTCCCCTGGCAGGTTCAAGCCATTCCCCTTGGCCTGACCCTACAGGCCCTTGTCCCAAGCCCGTCTCCAGGCTTCCTGCAGCCCCTTTAGGCACTGGAGCTGCTCTAAGGTCTCCCCTTCAGGAGCCTTCTCTTCTCCAGGTTGACCAAGCCTGTCTCTCTCAGCCTGGCTTCATCTTATGTACCTTAAACTTTACCTTTCTGAACTGTTTGGAACATATTCAGAAACAGCAGTGATGGGTCAGTCAACCTGCTAAAAACATAGAAGGTACTATATGTTTAAAAAGATACTATAAAAGATTTATGCCTGGGATTTGGCTTGTCTGTCTGTGGTGAGAGGCCCATTTGTGGATGTTGGTCAGTGGTTGATATGATGAATCCTCTTTGTACCTGTGCCTTTATGTACTTCAGTCTTGCAGTGACAATCACCCTCTTATGTTTTCTGGTTTTAGCTGAAATTAGAGAAACTAATCCCAAGTTGTGTATGGAAAAACTAATGTTCCCCTTTGGACTCTGCTTGTTCCAAGTAACTGAGTAACTGTTTCCAGAATTAACCTTCTGCTGTGCTTCCTTTCATTTATGAAATGAAGTTCTAAAAATAGTTAATGTTTGTTCTAAAAACCCCTTGTAATCCCTATGAGAAGAGATCAGCAAAGGAACAAAAAGTTGATGAAAATATGAAAAACACCATGTGTTTTTCCTTGTCTTCAACTGAAAATCCAGAGTTGTTTTGTCTTGAGAGAATGCTTCCTGTAAACCTTCAACCTAACTGAAGTCAAAACAGGACACACAAATGAGTTATCTTACTCTCACCACATCTGAAGAAGGGGAAACCTTATTTCAGCTAAAAACTTCCAAAAGCCTGGAAGTACAATCTGGAAGCACCCTCCTGGTGTCGTGCACTGAATTGATATGCAGCAAGAGGAAGAAATGTCATCTTTTGAGTCACTGTCATTTTGTTCTTCTAAAGCTCATTTTCAGTACGCTGTTGAAAAGGTGAAATACTGGTGATTTGTGCCTGTAGTTTCTTGTGTGTTTCCCAAAAATGAATAGGCTTTTGAAGCTGAGGTTATAAGTAGTTCACAGTATTAGCAATTATGGTTCAGGCTTTAAAGTCATCAGTAAATTGTTAGGAAATCTGTGCCTGAGGGCAAGCTTAATACAGTGATATTTTTGAGGTAGGAAAGCATGTCACTTATTTGTTTATTTGCTTCTTTAGGTGACATTAGAATTTCATCTTCATTAGTTATGAGCTGTGCTGTTCATAGAATCATGGAATAGGTAGGGTTGGAAAGGACCTCAAGATCATCCAGTTCCAACTCCCTTGCCATGGACAGGGACACCTCACACTAAACCATGGCACCCAAGGCTCTGTCCAGCCTGGCCTTGAACATCGCCAGGGATGGAGCATTCACAGCTTCCCTGGGCAACCCATTCCAGTGCCTCACCACCCTAACAGGAAAGAATTTCCTCCTTATATCCAGTCTAAACTTCCCTGTTTAAGTTTTAACCCATTACCCCTTGTCCTATCACTACAGTCCCTAATGAAGAGTCCCTCCCCAGGATCCCTATAGGCCCCCTTCAGATACTGGAAGCTGCTCTGAGGTCTCCATGCAGCCTTCTCTTCTCCAGGTTGAACAGCCCCAACTTTCTCAGCCTGTCTTCATATAGGAAGATACTTTTCAGTAAACCAAGTGCAGGAACAGAGCCTTGAGCAACATGGTCAAGTGTGAGGCATCCCTGCCCACGGCAGGGATTTGGAACTGCATGATCTTAAGGTCCTTTCCAACCCAAACCATTCTATGTAATAGCAAAGCTTCTTATTGGGATGAAGTGCAAAAAAGCCTCTGTTTGAAAATACCTTTCTCTGATAAAAAAATGCACTAGAATTGTTCAAGAGCTGTCTTCATATTTTAGGTATTTTCTTTGCTTATAATAGTTTTTAGTATTAACCATGTCCACATTGCACTCTTCCCTGTTTATGCTCCGTGCCAGGGGATTTGCAAGGCTGAGCTTTGTACAGTTGGACACTTTATTTGTTGAAAAACACTGTAAATTCCTCCCTCTAAAGCTCAGTTTTTGTTACCTCCCTGGCTTCCAACAGCACTTTCCTGAGCCCTCGCTTCCTTCCCTGCTCTCATCTTGTATTCTTGACCTTCTGATGCGTGCTTGTGTTTGCTCACAATATGGTGTTTACCCTCACTCCAGGGTAATCTTGGAATTCCTCAGCACTGGACTATGGAGAAACCTTAAATGGGTTTTATCAGTTTATGACTGTGCTACATCTTTGCATAATGCAGGCATTTGCACAGTGCAAGTGTCTGTATAAGCTGTTTACTAAACCCCTGGTAGTCTGAGTGCCCCCATGGCAGCCTGGGCCTGTACATGAGGCTTTTTTTGCTATTAAAGGGTTTTCTATCAGGCTTGGTTAAAAATAGTCTTTGCTGTTTTATATTTGTGATTAAAGGCAACAGGAGGGTGGGTAAATGTGCTGCTTCAAAAATGCACTAAAATAATGGGAAGTGGAAAATTCAGCGTGTTCTTCTGCACAGAATGAAGCAATCTGATGCAGATGACCTGCACTCATCATCTGTGAACTTTGGTGTTTTTGTTTTTAACCCGATTCCGTGTTAAACATTGACTGGAGCTGCTTTTGCACCTTTAGTTTCACTTTGTGCTGGTCAGTTGGGGGTGTTTTCCTCTTTAAAACCACTCCTTCTTGTGCAAGACCTTTGGCCGTGGCTCGTCCCTTGACACCGGGGGTGAAGCCGTTTGGGAGCACCTCGTGGTTTCTGTTCGATGCCAGATAGATGGGCCCGGTGGCCAAATGGATGGGCCTGGTTGCCAAATGGACAGTTCAGGTTGGCAGATGGATGTCCTGGTGACAGTGCTGATGGATGGCAGTGACTGCCCCACGGCTTCTTGCTGAGCTGTGGTGCCTCTTGTACCCTCAGAAAAAAGGAACAACTAACCTTCCTTTCATTAGTTACAAGTGAACATGGCACTAGTCCACCCAGATTTGAGTCTAGCTGAAGAAGGTGTCTGAGTTGGAAGGGACCCTGGTCTGATTCTTCATTTGAAGTCAGCTTCATTGTAGGGTCAGGCCCTTGCTCAAGATTGCCCAGTCAGGTGGGGAATTTCTCTAAAGGATGGAGATCTCATTGAAACTGTGGGCCAGTGACCTAGTGCTTGGCTACCCTCATAATCATAGAATGGTTTGGATTGCTTGGTTAGGCTTCAAGCTGAAAGAGGGGAGACTGAGCTGAGCTCTTAGGCAGAAGCTCTTCCCTGTGAGGGTGCTGAGGCGCTGGCACAGGGTGCCCGGAGAAGCTGTGGCTGCCCCATCCCTGGCAGTGTTGAAGGCCAGGTTGGACACAGGGGCTTGGAGCAAGCTGCTACAGTGGAAGGGGTCCCTGCCTGTGGCAGGGGTTGGAACTGGAGGAGCTTTAAGGTCCCTTCCAACCCAAACCAGGCTGGGATTCTATATGACATTAAAACCCTGTGTTGGACTATGTTGCAATACAGTCATCATGATCAAACAGTTCATGGAGCAGCCTGTCCTCTACATATTTATTATTTTGCTCTATTTGTTTTCTTTGTATCCCAAATAACTTCTAGAATATTGAAGGAAAAAGGGATTGGTATAATGTGACGAGCAAATGCATTTGGGATTTGGTAGAGATGTACCTGCCGGGTGACGTTCCCTTGTTCACATTTACTCTGTAAGCCAGCTGATCCTTGGATTGCATGGGGATTGATTAATCAAAGTGTCTTTGTGGTAGAAAGCTAGATTTCTTAGACAAATATAAATGCACTGTATCAGATTTGCTTTTGTTCTCTAAACCTGTAATCCCCTTCAAAACCACCAAATCAATTTGACGGGGTGGAGCGCTAGAGATGCTATTTTAGGGGTTTGAAAAGATAAATCCTCAGAGTTAAATCAAGGCGCATCAAGGAAGTTTAGAGCAGAAAGTTTCTTCAGTTCTTTACTTGCTTGATTCTTTCAAGCTGTTTCTGAAGACTCGAAGTTTGTTTTCTTTAATTCAGGTATCCTGTACCCAGCTGCACGGGTACTGAAGGAGAACAGTTTTTAGGTTTAATAAAGGAAAAAGATTTGCCCCCTTGCCGGTAGCATGGTCTGCCTCTCCAGCACTAGGAACTAAAATAACTTTTTAACTTTTAAAGTACTTCTTCACTGTAATGGCAAAAAAGGTGCTAGAACTGCTTCCTCAGAGCTCATCTCAGGCTCCCCTCGGGCAGGTTCAAGCCATTCCCCTTGGCCTGGCCCTCCAGGCCCTTATCCCAAGCCCCTCTCCAGCTTTCCTGCAGCCCCTTTAGGCACTGGAGCTGCTCTAAGGTCTCCCCTTCAGGAGCCTTCTCTTCTCCAGGCTGCCCCAGCCCAGCTCTCTCAGCCTGGCTCCAGAGCAGAGCTGCTTCAGCCCTCGCAGCATCTCCATGGCCTCCTCTGGCCTCCTCCACGAGGTCAGCCACCATCCCCACATCTTCCTCATTGGGACTGCTTCATCCAGGGACAGGACCTTGCACTTGGTCTGGTTGAACTACATGATGTTCACAGTCCCACCTCTCCAGCCTGTCCAGGTCCCTCTGGATCCCATCCCTTCCTTCCAGCTTGTGGAGCTCACACAGTGTTGTGTTGTTGGCAGACTTGCTGAGGGTCTGGATCCCATTGTCCATGTTGCTGACAAAGATGTTGAACAGCGCCGGTCCCAACACCAAGCCCTGAGGAACACCACTTGTCACTGGTCTCATCTTGGGCATTGAGCCTTTGACTGCAACTCTTTGAGTGTCACCATTCAACTAATTCCTTATCCACTGAGTGCTCCATCCATCAAAACCCTGCCTCTCCATTTAGAGACGTTTGGGATGTCAAGGATGTCGTTTGGGGCACAGTCAAATGGTTTGCCCAAGTGCAGGTAAATATCGATCACTCTTACCTTATCCACCAATGTAGCCCCACTGTAAAGGCCACCAAATTTATCAGGCATGATTTACCCTTCATGAAGCCATGTTGGCTGTCACCAATCGCATCCTTATTGTCCATGACCATTGCACATGTTCCAGCAAGATCTGCTCTGTGATGCTAGCAGGTACAGAGGTGATTGCTTTGTTTCCTTATAGTCTGGGAGTCATTTTGCTGCACAAGTATTGGAGCTTTTCCTTTAAGAGAATAGATTTGAGGTCTCCTTATTTTCTCCCTCCCTTTTTGATTTTTTGGCACTGAGTTATTTATAATCTCTTGTAATTCCTCTTTTTGTCTTGTTTATTTTCACTCTTGTCGTTGTGTCTATTAGGTGAGATGCAAGAGCTGTTTTAATTAGGGAGAAATGGTGTCATTTGGCTTATGTGTGTGGCCAGATGGATCAAAGTCTTGAAAAATTAGGGGAAGAGCATTGCTTAACATAGCATTTTGATAGGTTGAAAACAGTGTTTTTTCAGTATCACCTTTATCCTTTCACTTCTCCATGATCCATGCCGTCTGATCTAGTTGAAGATATCCCTGCTTATTGCGGAGGGGTTGGACTAGGTGACCTTTGAAGGTCCCTTCCAATCCACCCTGTTCTATGATCCGTACGCTGTATTTTCATCCTTTCCTGTCACAGCTCGCATCTTCTTCCTTTGTGGCTGTTTTCTTCTCAGCAGAGCTTCTCATGCTTTTGATCTCTGCCACTCTGGCAGGTTGTGTCTCAGGAGAAAACGATGAATACACCATCACCATGCTGCTTGCATAGCAAATGAGGGAAAAATAATAGAGGGGATGCTCTTTGCTTTAAATAATCTCCATTTTTCTGTGGTGTAGGGGAGAGAGCAAAGTAAGCAGCATATGCATGGTGATGGAGAGGTTGGTTCTCTTGGATGCTGTTTCTCACTGTGCCACTGACTGCAAATCCAGCACACGTTAAACAGGAGTTGTTTCAGGGCAAAGCAGAGGCTTGCCTTTCAGTGTGTACGGAGTAACGTCATTAGGCAGCTTAACTGAGTAGGAGTATTTATTTGCTTTGGAGTAGTGATGATTGTGAAATGTTTGGAAACCTCATGAAAAGAAAGAGAAGCAGAACATTGTGCAATAGGCTGCTCTTGGCCAGCCGAGGCTCCGAGACCTTCTGGGTTGTAGATTAAAGGAAGTTTTGCATAATCCTCGATCATTCTGATTCTGTCTGGGCTTTTCTTCATGGCAGATCACGTAAAGTCTGCTTGTGCTGGTTTATTTAAAAGGCTGCTTTGTGCACACTGATTTATTCATGGGTTTCAAGGTTCAGCCGTTCAAGGACCTGATTGTTGTTGTGTTGTCTTCCCTCCTGGCTTTCTCCGATAGAAGAAATCTCTGTAAGTTTTATCTGGCTGTTTAGAACTGGTGGAGGTGGGATAACATCCTCTTCAGTGGGATAACATCCTCTTTAGCATATTTACCTGTGTATCATCAGGAGAAGACGGAAAGAAAGGAGCAAGTGAGAGATGCGGTGAGAGCATCTTCTATGGAGGTACCTGCCTTCATCTGAAACAGATCCCAAATCAAGATCTGTAAGAGAAAACAAACTGTCCAGTGCTATTCCCTTTATTAGGAAAGGTTATTGGGAGGGATTTTTGTCTTCTCTCACTACCGCTGTTCTCTCTGTACTTTTGTTCTTTGCTGTTATTTTCCCCTCTCCAGGGCCTTCCTAGATTGCCCTGTAATATCAGTGATAAGTGCTGCAAGAATAAGACTGGAGAAGAATGAACCAGAACAAAGGAATTCTCTCCTATCCCCGAGCTGCACTTTGCCTTACCCTCAGTTGTGTTCAGTTGTCTGTTTTCCTGTGGCAGACACATCTACAGTTTGCATTACAAAGGGAGACTATGAACCTAATAGCAAAGAAAATAAGTTTCTTAGCCCTTTTGTTCTTTAGTGTTGCAGGAGATGGTCTTTTGGGAGAGAGGAGCTTTGCATCACAAGGCTATGGAATAGGCTCTTACACATGCAGCAAAAGGCAGTGAATTTTACCTCTTAACCCCATATCCTTGAGATCTGCAAGAGGAAATAAACAGCTGGCTTTCTCACAAGGAAATGCTTATTGAGCTGCATGTCAGCAAATGTGCTGGAGTTGTTTGGCCAAAACATGGGATCAAGTTACTCTGCTTTTAGGGCATGCTGGTAAAATGAAGGATTTCTTCTTATCCGCAGTAAGATTGGTTGTGCAGAAAGGGCTGTTTGCAGCCCTATCCAGATGTAGGTAACACCTTCATCTGTCAGTCTTGGTGCAAACATCCCCAACTTCAGCCTTTCATCAGGGACTGTAGCGATAGGACAAGGGGTGATGGGTTCAAACTGAAACAGGGGAGGTTCAGGTTAGATACAAGGAAGTTCTTTACTGTGAGGGTGCTGAGGCGCTGGCACAGGGTGCCCAGAGAAGCTGTGGTTGCCCCATCCCTGGCAGTGCTCAAGGCCAGGTTGGACACAGGGGCTTGGAGCAAGCTGCTCCAGTGGAAGGGGTCCCTGCCTGTGGAGGGTGTTGGAACTGGAGGAGCTTCCCAACCAAACCTTCCAACCCAAACCAGGCTGGGATTCTATGGTCTATTCTGTGATTCTGTGATCCATTCTATGATTCTAACTTCTATAGCAAAAGCTTTTAGAAAGGATCACTGAGTGTCTGTTATTCTTCGAGTGCAGCACTCTCTTCTATTGCATTTGAACAGCAAAATTCAGGTCACAAAAGAGCACTTTGCAGGCGATATGAATGGGCTGCTGTGGAGAGCTGTGAGTGTTTTCTTTGGGAATGGAAACTCATTTATCCTGTCCTCAACTTCATTTGCTTTTGGTTCTGAATAGATGTAAGCAGAGGAAAAGTAAGTTCTTTTCAAGGGGGGGAAATTCTTTACATCGTTGGTTTTTAGTCAGTGGTACCCTCGGATATTCACAAGTCACAGGGCACAAACCCAGGCTTGGCAGCTTTCCCAAGCCTTTGTGGTGCTGCCTTTGGTTCTCTGCATGAAATGCTCCTCTCTGGGATTTGAAGGCCCCCCTGTTTGTCAAAAAGCTTCAACTTTGCCTCTGAAAGTAGTGCTAAGGCTGAGGAAAGATGCTTGTGTATGAGGGAATGAGAGCTGATATGACTAGTTGGTGGTAAACAACGTTCTTTGCTTAGATAAAGGCTCTTGAGAATATATATTCAATAGACTTCAAATTTATGCCTGCTCTTACCTCTTTTGTATGAGGGAAGAATGGACTGCTTTCTTTTGTTGTTGTCAGGCTTCTGTTAAGAGGGATAAACATTGCTTTTCATATACAAACTAATTGCTACCATAGGTGAATAAGGTAGTAGTTACTCTATGCAGGAGGCATTCAGTCTTCTTTTGGCAGATCATTCCATAGGTCTATACTGTGTCCAGTCTCAAATACTGTAAATAGTCTTGCCCAGCATCCTCATTTCTCTCTGCCAGCCCTGGAGAACTAAAAGTCTGGAGGATCTCACAGAACATGGAGGGATGTAAAGAAACAGCCAGAGGCATCCAGAAGTGTGAAGCAATGAGTGAGGTGGGAATAGAGTGTGAGAGCCTTTAGGATAGGAAAGAATTATGGATGTGGTGAGTCAGATGGAGCTTTATAAAACAGGGGGTGGTGGGAAGATGATGGAATCACAGCATGGGTTGGTTTGAAAGGGATCTTAAAGCTCATCCAGTTCGAACCCCCTGCTATGGGCAGGGACACCTTCCACTGAAGCAGTTGCTAAAGCCCTGTCTGGCCTTGCCTTGAGTAATTCCAGGGATGGAATACTTTGAATCCACATTTATCTTTCAGAAGAGCCATGTTGATTACTTCAGGGTTTTGTATTTACATTTCTTTCTGCAGCCATTCCTCCTTCTAGAAGCCTTGATAGCCTCTACATCCCCATTTGTCTGCATTCCTTGGTCAGTGACATGGTGATAATTAAGCCAAGCAAGAGGGCTTAATAAACTGCTCCCTAAAGAATGTGGCTTTATCTTCTTGAGATGGTCCTGAGGGTTCTTATACCTTTGAGACTGGGGTTGTTCTGAGGGTTGGTTGGCTATCCACGTTCACATTGGCCAGGTATTGGAGTACTTAAGGAGTTCTGTTACAGAATAACAGTCTGATAACACTGCTCTGTGAAAATGCTGATTACTCAGATTCATTTTACTACAAATGCACATAAATACCTTCAGTTTAAACTGGTTTATTAATACTGATGCATTTACTGTTGTTGCTTTGCTCCCTTTTATCTCCCTTCTAACGTTGTTTTCTTTTTCTTCTTTTGCAGTGGTCTTATTGTTCCTGAGAAAGAGAGCAATGAAACGGTACCAGAAGTTGTAGCTACTTCTGGATATGCTCTTCTGCACTTCTTCAGTGATGCTGCTTATAATTTAACAGGGTTTAACATCACATATAAGTAAGTAGTCCCGCTTCAAAGTGATGCTGCAGGTTGAGTAAAAGGAGGGTTCCTCTTTTCTCAGTTCTGTCCTGAAATAAAGCAATTGCCAGTGAAACATGTCATTATGAGTAGATATTTATGCTTATATTTGTATCTTTATTATAGCCTTGCAGCAGCTAATAACTGTAATGTGCTCAACATTACCTTCAGTTGTCAGTTTTAAGCGTGGGCAAATGTTTGCTCTGAAAGGCATCATGTTATTTATTTTGTGTTGTTAGCTGTGTTTGGTTGTATTCAGTCAACCAGAATTGATGTATATTGTGCACATGGGTGTTCTTATGCATTCTGCATAGATACATCTGCACAAACACACCTCTGCCTAGGCACATGTTACACTTAGAAACATAGAATAGTTAGGGCTGGAAAGGACCTTAAGATCATCCGGTTCCAACCCCCTGCCATGGGCAGGGACACCTCACACTAAACCAGGGCATCCAAGGCTCTGTCCAACCTGGCCTTGAACACTGCCAGGGATGGAGCATTCACAACCTCCCTGGGCAACCCATTCCAGTGCCTCACCACCCTGACAGGAAAGAACTTCTTCCTTATATCCAATCTAAACTTCCCCTGTTTAAGTTTTAACCCGTTACCCCTTGTCCTGTCACTACAGTCCCTACTGAAGAGTCCCTCCCCAGCATCCCTATAGCCCCCCTTCAGATACTGGAAGGCTGCTCTGAGGTCTCTACGCAGCTTCTCTTCTCCAGGCTGAAAACAGCCCCAGCTTTCTGAGCCACTGTACTGTGCCTGCTGTTGAGGATGCTCAAGCAGTTTTCTTTGGGATGCTCTTTTTAATTCAACCCTTGGATTGAATCACTTACTCTAGCTTCTTTTTTTGCTATGGTCTTTGCTTCATATATTAAATGTTATAGGCAGATTCTCCTGTTTAGAATCATAGAATAGTTGGGGTTGGAAAGGACCTTAAGATCATCCAGTTCCAACCCCCCCTGCCATAGGCAGGGAACCGATGCCTCCAAGGGAGACATGGATTCCTGATACGTATTTAATGCTTATTGATAAGTTTTTATAAATTATTCTACAGTATTCTCTAATTCATCAACTGCTTTTGGAAAAGTTTTGTTTGGAATTAAATGATCCCAGTGTGGACATACTAATAGAGATAGAATGTCCTGCTTCTGGTGAGGATCCATCCATATGTAGGAAGAAAATAATCGAAGCCCAAATCATGCTTGTGCTGCTGTGGGAGATGTGAATTTGGGTGTAAATTGCAGAAGTTCTCATCTCTATTTCACAAAGAAATCCTTGGTCAGAATGGACATTGTGCAAAAATTGCATGTTCTCCTTCAGATGAGGGCTTTGAGTACCCGTCTTGGTGCTTTCATCCTTCTTAAGCACAGAAATGTACGGTGGATTCTTAGCCTTTGAAAAATGTGGGGTATCCAGCACCCCTCGAGAGCTCCCGAAGGAAATGCGCCTGCACAGGTTACTTGGAACAGCCGCTGAAGCTGTAGCGAAGTCTGGTTGATCCCGTAAACCATGTCACCATCTACTGCCCGTTGTCTGTATTGCACCGTTGCTGTACAAGAGAGACAGTCTCTTAGGGAATAACGTGCCGGTTATAAGTTCCTTTAAGATATTCTTTTATTTCGTTAACTCGTCACCTTATTGATTATTTCATATAATCCACAAGTACTGGGTTGTTTGTTTTCTTTTGGGGGGGGTTATGTCCTATGTATTCTGGTCATAAGGTTTGCTGATATTTCTGCAGGCAGTAGATAAAAAGGTGTATCTATTTATTTTCACTTTCACAGAGTCACAGGCTGGTTTGGGTAGGAAGGGACCTTAAAGCTCCTCCAGCCCCAACCCCTGCCACGGGCAGGGACCCCTTCCACTGGAGCAGCTTGCTCCAAGCCCCTGTGTCCAACCTGGCCTTGAGCACTGCCAGGGATGGGGCAGCCACAGCTTCTCTGGGCACCCTGTGCCAGCGCCTCAGCACCCTCACAGGGAAGAGCTTCTGCCTAAGAGCTCAGCTCAGTCTCCCCTCGGGCAGGTTCAAGCCATTCCCCTTGGCCTGGCCCTACAGGCCCTTGTCCCAAGCCCCTCTCCAGCTTTCCTGCAGCCCCTTTAGGCACTGGAGCTGCTCTAAGGTCTCCCCTTCAGGAGCCTTCTCTTCTCCAGGCTGCCCCAGCCCAGCTCTCTCAGCCTGGCTCCAGAGCAGAGCTGCTCCAGCCCTCGCAGCATCTCCATGGCCTCCTCTGGCCTCGCTCCAACAGCTCCACGTCCCTCTTGTGCTGCTGCCCCAGAGCTGGATCAGGGCTGCAGGGGGGGTCTCCCCAGAGCACAGCAGAGGGGCAGGATCCCCTCCCTGAGCTGCTGCTCACTCTGGGGGTGCACCCAGCACACGGGGGGTTCTGGGCTCAAGCGCTCACTGAAGCTGGGTCATGGGGAGCTTCTCCTCACCCAGCACCCCCAAGTGCTTCTCCTCAGGGCTGCTCCATCCATTCTTTGCCCAGCCTGTGTTTGTGCTTGGGATTGCCCCCACGCACTTGAAGGACCTTGTACTTGGCCTTGTTGTACTTCCTGAGGTTTAACAGTCTTTCTAGTTAGTACTGGGCATAGGTACTCAACAAACACTAGCGAAAGTAGGGTCTTGGAGGCAGTGACTCCACTTGTCACGTGACAGTGAGGATATTGCCAGTTATGCTGGTTGATGCCCTGTCAAACCCTGGAATTTAGAAATGAACAGGATCTCTGAGTTTGGATTTTCCCCAAAGATGTGTCTGGTGTTGCCCAGCTACATTACAGATACTGGATAATTAGAAATGATGCAAACCAGGCCCATCTTTGGCTCGGGATTCATCTCAACTGTGTTCCCTTGCTAAGCTGATCCCAGAATAGCACCTAATTGTGAGTAGTTTAAGTATAAATTGCATAGACACCACAAACGCCTTATGCACTGATTAAACCCCTCACTTACTGTTGGGTGTTTTAAGGCAATTCATTTGCATTACCAATGGCTAGAAATACTGATACTTGGTTCAGAGGGGTTGTAAGTTTAACCCATTGAGTATCCCTATAGATGGTGGGCAACAAATCCCTGCAGGTCCATGACCTGAGGTTCTAGATGAAGAGCTCGTGTGGGTTTGTATGTTAACACGCAGCTGTAGTAACTTCTATATTATATTCATTAGTAAGAGGAACAGCTTGGGAATCTGTTTCATTACTGACAGAGCTGCTTTCCCTGATGTTTGCAGTTTCAATATGTGTCCCAATAATTGCTCGGGCCGAGGGGAGTGCAAGCTCAATACCAGCAGCAATGCTCTGGAATGTGAATGTGCCAAATACTGGAAGGGAGAAGCCTGTGATATTCCCTACTGCACAGATGACTGTGGGGCACCCGAGAGAGGACACTGCAACTTCAATGATACCAAGGCATGTCTGTGCTCTGCAGGCTGGCAAGGTGAGTGTCCTGATCAATGTTTGATGCCTTTTCTATGCTCTTCCAGGTTAACTGGGAGTGTTTGAGTGTTCTGCTGGACATATATTAGCATTTTAGCTAAAAGCAGAGTATCTCTGCTTTTATACTGAAAGATCATACTTGATCTGTATTAAATGCTTTTAAAAGCAACTATTATAGGTTGGTGCTTTTAAAAGGAACTGTTACAGGTTGGTACTTTTAAAAGTATCAACCTGTTGTGTGCAGGCATTGGATAAAAGCTTTAAATCTTGTTCCTGTGTACCTAAAGCAGATTTGAGCCTGATACCAGCCTTAACCTGTTTGAACACACGAAATGCCTTTTCATTTCAGCTGTGCTGGTCAGCCCTATCTTAGCAACAGTTTGGACCAAACTTGCATATTCCCTTTGCAAGGATACTGATGTGCATGAATTAGCCTTATATGAAATGTAGTCAGCTTCAGCACTGGCAGCACCTCCTACCACCACTGAGCTGTGTAGCAGAAACTGGCAGTGTGTTAGGCAGTGTGGAAAGAATCCAGGTTACCAAAATGAGCATCCTGAAGAGAATGCACCCAGTATTGAGGTTAGCACATCTGCCTCTTGGATGTAAAACCAGCCCCAAGTGTACTTCAGGGCTTGTATTCAGCTGGAAGACCACATCCCCTTATCGTACAATCACAGACTAGTTTGGGATGGAAGGGTTCTTAGAGCTCATCTCTTTGCCAGCCCTGGAAAACTAAAAGGCTGGAGGGTATCACAGAACATGGAAGGGTGTGAAGAAACAGCCAGAGGCATCCAGAAATGTTAAGGAATAAATGAGTGGGAATAGTAAGTGTGAGATCCTTTAGGATAGAAATGTGGATGTGATGAATCAGATGGAGCTTTATAAAAGAGCAGGTGGTGGGAAGATCATAGGATGGTTTGTATTGGAAGGGACCTTAAAGCTCCTCCAGCTCCAACCCCTGCCATAGGCAGGGACCCCTTCCACTGGAGCAGCTTGCTCCAAGCCCCTGTGTCCAACCTGGCCTTGAACACTGCCAGGGATGGGGCAGCCACAGCTTCTCTGGGCACCCTGTGCCAGCGCCTCAGCACCCTCACAGGGAAGAGCTTCTGCCTAAGAGCTCAGCTCAGTCTCCCCTCGGGCAGGTTCAAGCCATTCCCCTTGGCCTGTCCCTACAGGCCCTTGTCCCAAGCCCCTCTCCAGCTTTCCTGCAGCCCCTTTAGGCACTGGAGCTGCTCTAAGGTCTCCCCTTCAGGAGCCTTCTCTTCTCCAGGCTGCCCCAGCCCAGCTCTCTCAGCCTGGCTCCAGAGCAGAGCTGCTCCAGCCCTCGCAGCATTTCTGGTGGCCTTCTTTTTATGCAGTGTAGTGGCTCCTGATGCTTCTCTGGAGTCTGGTTGTTCACTGACAGCATGGACAGGTCACAGGGAACTGCCTGGTAGCGAGGAAGATGGTTTTAGAAGCAGCAGAAATACAGGAAAAAAAAAGAAGTGAGCAATTCATGACTAGGATGGAGAGGAATGAAAAGAGGGGATGATAGTTATAGACCCTTGGGTTTTTACAGCATGCTGCTGAGCAGCTCTTCCGAAGCTTTTGCAAGCTGTACTGGGGCTTTTGTGGTGGGCACATGGTAGGTAGGAAAGTGCTGAAGATACCCAGTTAGTGTGGAGGAGGAAGGGGTGTGCATCATGCTTCTTCAAATCACAGGAGGGGAGAACTGAGCTGGATTACCTGTTTGTCACCCCTGGTGCAGGGTATTGACCTTTAGCTAAACACAGGCTTTGGAAAGGAATCAACCTAATTTGAAAACCTTATTTTCCCAGGTCCTGGCTGTTCAGTCCCTGTTCCTGCAAACCAGTCCTTTTGGACCCGGGAGGAATATTCTCTTCCCAAACTTCCTAGAGCATCCCACAAAACAGTCATCCACGACAATAAAATGTGGATTGTTGGAGGCTATGTCTTCAATCATTCTGACTCTCAGAAGGTTTTAGCGTGAGTATAAACCCAGATAATAAAGTCTAAGTAGAGGAACTCAGATATGAGGATTATTTTTAGCTGATGCCATCTGACGTGCTGTGCTTTAGCCTGCGCTTCGTCCCCAGGGGAAAACAGCCCTAATAAAAGCTTGGATTCATGATTGAGGTCTGGGAAAACGTTGCTGAAGGGTGCTAATTTTGGAAAAGGAAAGGTATGAGGTTCCTGATGTTCAGTGAATCTGTGATTCATCGGCTTCTGACAGCATTTGACTGTTCACTGTGGATTTCTAGGCTGGCTCCTCAGTTATATCTAGCCTTGTATTCCAAGAGGGTAGGTCTGCTTCAGTTATCAGCCCTTCTTTATATTATATCTGTGTGGCTTCAGAGTGCTTGGTTCCTTAATTAAAACATACTGATTGCTATGGATGTTTACCTGTAATGGTTGGGATGCCAAACAGGGAGTGACATTTGGGATAATGACATTTATGCAATTAAGAGATTTAACAGTGACTAAGATAACAAATGGAAATCCCTCATTAAATGTAAAAGCAAGCAACCCAAATAGAAAAAAAAAACACAACCCAAACATTTCAGTTTTCTGTTGTGCTTGATGGGATTTGGGCAGATTTAGGCAAAAGCTGGGTTTTCTTTATCAAGTTCACCTGCACACCTCACTTCCATGGGCCTAAGCATGAGCTCTGTGTCCTGTACTTGGGTCCAGAGATTATAGTTCCTGTAGGGAATTTAAAGAGGAGCTGAAAATGCACCCTTAGTTATAGAATTACATGCACAATGCACTCTTAGTTGCTGATTACATCCACAATTTACTGTTTCAAAGTCATGCCTGAGTTTTCAGTATATACCCTGTGGCTTCATTGAATGCTCTCTCAGAGGTGATTTTATCTTCTAAGGCTGTCAGCCTGGCAAGCATAGTTCATGCTTTTATCTCAACAGCCACAGGCCATTTTCAGGGCAGAGGGGTTTATCTTGTTTCAAGTTCACAGGAAAAATAACACTTGAATGACAAAGGCATCATTAAAAAGTGCCTTTTAAACTGGGGCAGGTTTTATTTAATCAAGTAGTTAGAACTTATCTGAGCTTAGTGTAAAGTTGTTCTGCTGTTCCGGGTGGACCATGTGGTGTAAGTTAAGTCATAGCTTAATAGACAATGCATTAGCATTCCCACAAACAGTCATTTTCTCTGAAGATGAATTCAGTTTGTATTATGCAGGTATGATCTGATTTCTGAAGAGTGGCTCCCACTGGCCAACACTGTGAACTCAGTAGAGATGAGATACGGTCATTCCCTGGCATTACATGAGGTAAGTTCAGTGCTGCAGCCTCACTTCCCAGCTGGTTTTTCCCTTCTCCTGCCCACCCCTTTGAACTAATCAGTTTTGCTTTGGGAGAAGCATTTCTTATTCAAAGGCTTGTCCATGATTGGCTCTATGCGTACTTGTACTCCAGGGAATCCTTGTGCTGGTGTCAGTGGAATTCTGTAGTGCTTATGCTGTGTGTTCCTTCTTTGCCCTTTGCTCAGAGATATTAAGGCTGCCTGAGGTCAGTGAGTGCATTATTTCCTTGCTGTCTGTGCTTACAAGGCATGCCTGATGGCTGGAGTCTGCTGGAGTTCATCTGGTTCTACACATCTGCCTTTTTGTGTAGACCACATAAATGTGTTTGTGATCTCCCTTATCCAAGGCACCAAGTCAGAGCTGGTGAATTGAGTTTTGGAGCCTGCTCTGCTTCTGCATTAGACCTATGAATGTGTCCTTCCAGCATCTGAAACAATACTTGGGTTTGCCTGTTTCTCTACCTCATTTCTCACCTGCATGCCTTGCTATGGGTGCAGGCCATGTGAGAGCAGGATGGCAAGGTCTTTGAGAAGGCAATGAGCTAATCCTTTAGTGACCTTTGGTTTTGAGATGTTAATCAGCTCATCACACTGCAAGCCTATGTAGAGCATAATTAGAAACACTTGAAACAACTCCAGGCAGCACTGCTCACAAACAGAACACTTGAGAAGCCTGGGAGGATGGAAAACCCTACCTGCAAGGGCTCAATGCACAATCTCCCAATAACTATTCAGAAGTAGGGTATGACGAGTGGTTTATCAGCAATGATGGGCAGTAGTTCCCAGGAATTTCCCAAGAAACACTAGCCATAATAGAGAATTTCCTTTTCCAAGGTTGCCACCTTGTCCATAGGGAGACAATGGTCCACTAAATGCATTGGTGGATTTGTGGTGGATTCTGAGATGCCTGGATAACCTTGCGAAGGAAACTGGATAAGGTTTTGGAACTTAGGGTTTTATTAAGCATCTGTAAAAGCTAACTGTCCTGGCTCCCTACTTCGCAAAGGGTGCTCATTTTTTGTCAGTGTATTAACTTGGACTTGGAAGACAAAGTACTCTTAAGGTTACATACACAGGCATTTCCATCCTAACTGCCTTTCTTACCAGCTGTCTTCTGCTGTTTGCATTGGCAAGCTGTCGAGGGCTTCAGACTGACTTCAGGTGCTAACTTCAAGTGCCTTTGGGAGCCTCTGAAGTTCCATTTATAGTGGAAACAGACCTAGTCAGGACAGGTAGTGAAATCCAAAGAGCAAGTCAGCTCACCCCGAAGTAGGTACATCTTCCCTGCTTTTGATAGCTGAATTATACTCCAGACTCCACTACATAGCTTGTATCATAGCACCAGTGTGGCAGCAGGGTCAGGGCAGGGATTGTGCCCCTGCACCGGGCACTGGCAAGGCTGCACCTTGTACTCTGTGCTCAGCTCTGGGCCCCTCACTACAAGAAAGACATTGAGGTGCTGGAGCGGGGCCAGAGAAGGGCACTGGAGCTGGTGCAGGGCCTGGAGCCCAAGTGTGATGGGGAAGGGCTGAGGGAGCTGGGGGGTTCAGATGGAGAAGAGAAGGCTCAGGGGGGACCTGATGGCTGCCTCCAAGTGCCTGAGAGGAGGATGGAGCCAGGAGGGGCTGGGCTCTGCTCCCAAGGAACAAGGGATGGGACAAGAGGAACCGGCCTCAAGCTGCACCAGGGCAGGTTTAGATGGAGCTGAGGAACAATTCCTGCCCCAGAGGGTGCTCAGGCATTGGAACAGGCTGCCCAGGGCAGGGCTGCAGGCACCATCCCTGCAAGTGTTCACACAGTGTGGAGACGAGGCCTCAGTGCCATGGGTCAGTGGTGGCCTTGGCAGTGCTGGGAATGGTTGGACTGGCTGAGCTTAAAGGGCTTTTCCAACCATTGCTTTTCTGTCTGTTACCTGAAGGCCAGTCCTGCCCCACACACCTTTCCTCTCCATACCTTGATATTGGGTGAGTTGTGTATGTTTTAGGTATTTTGACATTACAGACTTGAGTACAAACCCTGGCAGTTGTGGGTGCTTTCATATAAAATGTGACTGGTGAAGGAGGTATGTTTCTCTTTGAGAGAGGAAAAAAGCATATGCTGAGAGACGATGAAGTATCACAACATTATTATGTGTGTATTAGCAAGTTGAGCTGTTCCCTTAATGCCAAACTCACTGCCGTTGTTTTCAGTGTGAAATCTACTTTCTTTCAGGATGATATCTACATGTATGGTGGAAAAATAGATGCGACGGGGAACGTGACCAGCCAGCTGTGGGTGTTCCACATTCCCACCCAGACCTGGGCTCAAGTGACACCGCAAGCCAAGGAGCAGTACGCGGTGGTTGGCCACTCAGCTCACATCATCACTGGGCCAGGCGACAGCGCGGTCATGCTCGTCATCTTTGGGCACTGCCCTCTTTATGGGTATATCAGCAACGTCCAGGAGTACAACCTGAGTGAGTGGGGCCCTGTCATGGAGGGAGTCTCTCTGCTCTCATAAGGGAGAAATAGCAAGATGTTGATTGATACAAAACAGTGATTTAACCAAGTTTGATGTTAAGTGCGACAGTGACTTAACAAGGTTCAATGGGAAGTAAATATGGAGCTCAACTCCTGTTGAGTCATGAGGTTCAGAAAGGATCCCCTTGTGTTTTAAACAGCTTCTCAGAGAGGTACAGCTGAATCCGGAGCCAGTCTTGACTTGGTCAGTGGTTTATGCCTGAAGGATTTAGACTTTTAGATTATTTTACCTAGAGGGGACACGTACTGGTGTAGGACAAGGGGGAATGGCTTTACACTGACAGAGGGGAGATTGAGATGAGATCTTAGGCAAAGCTCTTCCCTGTGAGGGTGCCGAGGCGCTGATTTTATAGGATCCAAAGGTTTTTGATATTTCCAGTAGAGAAGTGTAGGAAGCTCTCCAGATGAACTAACTTAGCTGCTCTGAAATGTCACTCTGGAGGCATGGCCCTTGCTCTGCTTGCAAGAGAACATAGTTAAGCACAGGATGTTCCCAACAGGAATGTATTGGTTATTGCCAGAAACAGTGGCCCTACCTGCCCATTGGAGCTGTTATTTCTGTCCTTTGGTCATCCTGATCCAGAGGTTCTACTGGAGTCCACTGGTGTCTGCTTGAGTGAGTCCTCCTCCTCTTGAGAAAACCAGGATGTGTGTGGGGCAGTGATTTGGTTTTCCCATATGTGACCTTGTAGACTATCTAATTCCTTTGCTTTTTGTGTGCCTGATCTTCCCTGGAGTTGGGAAGCCTGCTTGAGGTTTTTATTCTGCACTTGCTCCAGAGATTTGATGTGTAATTTGACATTTTTGTTCCAGTTGCCGTTATATTATGTCTGGAGTGCTTCAAACCAATGTTATTTTAGTGAGTGAGATATAGGACCATTAATCACATATTAGTTTTTAACTGCGGTGTTCTTTGCAGTCATACTTGTCTTCAGTGCTGCCTGGCTTTATGTATATATAGATATAAAATGAAAGTGCTCCTGGGTGCTATTCCAAATCAAGCCATTTTCATGTCATTGCAATGCAGTGTATTATTTCTGCATTTTTTCCTCTCATTTTTACTTATCTTGTCTGAAAAGAATGTAATAAGTGACTGCAGAAGAGATATTTCTGCTCTAATTAAAGATACTTGACAATAGTTCTTGACAACAAACTCCTTGAAGGAGGATATTTCTGGGTATGAAGTGATAGAGACAGTGTCTAGATCTGAGTCAAGAGAAAACCCAGTTTGTTCCACCATGAGATTTGTTGGTAAGTTCTTATTAATGGGGATGAATTAACCATGTTCTATCACCTTTTTTGTTTCTCAGCCACAAATACATGGAGCATTTTACAGACGAGTGGAGCTTTGGTGCAAGGAGGGTATGGTCACAGTAGTGTTTATGACACACATACGAGATCCATTTATATCCATGGAGGTTACAAAGCATTCAGTGCCAACAAATACAGGCTAGCAGATGACTTGTACAAATATGAAGTTGATACCCGTATGTGGTAAGTAGTTCTCCTTCCTGTAAACCCCTCATCATCTGTGTTTGTCATGGACAAGAGGATGGGGTGTTGGATAAGGTTGCAGTAGTACAGTTATCTGCGTTCAAGCTACATACTGTGCTCTTCTATCTGTGATTGTTATGTCCCTTTATGAATAGGGAATCATGTAATCACATATAATCAAAGCTGTGAATGAGCCGAGAAATCCATTTTAATCTATTGTTGTATTAAAGATGAAAAGGGAAACCATTGGCTGGGATTTTCTTGTCAGCAGTACTGACTGTGCAGATGAGTGTGGCTACTGCAGTCAAGTGAGTGATAATTCATTCCACAGTTAAATCTGCAACAGAATTTCTATTATAACCTCATTTTCTCCTGGCTCTGTAACTGCTCGAAATGTTCATTTCTTAAGCTGAAATCCTCAGTGATTTATTTCTGCCCAAAGGTGAGTTTTATTAAAAACCCACAGCAAAACTTCACAACTTGGAGCTGTGGAGGTGAAACACATTTTCCTCCATTTGGAAAGTTGTTTTTCAATGCTCCTGACAAAAAGGAGACTGAATTTTGAGCATGGGAACTGTATTTTGAACATTTACAAATGTAAATTAGAGTGACCGTATCTCTTTTGTGAGACTTAAAAATAGCCTGTACTTCTGCAACAACTGGGAGTCCATACGATGAGTAAAGTAACTAATGACTAATTACCAAAACCCTTCCTTCCTGCTCCATTGTACATCCAGTAATAGCCGTGCTTCCTTTTGTGGTTCATTCAGTCCTCTACTTCAGCCATGAGCAGGCAAATCTGGCTGAATAGGCAGAAAATGAGCACAAATGTGTCAGTGTTCTCCCAAACCACTGCAGCATCAACTTCCTTTATTTGTCAGTCTCATGAGGCTGCTGAGGCGCTGGCACAGGGTGCCCAGAGAAGCTGTGGCTGCCCCATCCCTGGCAGTGCTCAAGGCCAGGTTGGACACAGGGGCTTGGAGCAAGCTGCTCCAGTGGAAGGGGTCCCTGCCTGTGGCAGGGGTTGGAAATGGAGGAGCTTTAAGGTCCCTTCCAACCTCAACTATTCTATGATTCTATGATGGTATGGATGTGCCCACATCAGGATTTCCCTGCAATCCCACCCACTCAAGGTAGTAGGGGAATTCCACAAAGGGTGACCCTCCGTATTCAGTGCCATTAATCAAGCTGACTAAAGGTGATGTTGAGCAGCAAGTTTGACTAATGCTCCCCATGATTTAGGCATGGATGATGCCTTGAGTTTTGCAGGTATTAAGCTTGTCAGCAACTGCACAGGTTTCCTTAAAATCATAGAATCATAGAATAGTCAGGGTTGGAAGGGACCTTAAGATCATCCAGTTCCAACCCCCCTGCCATTGACAGGGACACCTCACACTAAACCGTGGCACCCAAAGCTCTGTCCAACCTGACCTTGAACACTGCCAGGGATGGAGCATTCACAACCTCCCTGGGCAACCCATTCCAGTGCCTCACCACCCTCACAGTAAAGAACTTCTTCCTTATATCCAATCTAAACTTCCCCTGTTTCAGTTTTAACCCATTACCCCTTGTCCTGTCGCTACAGTCCCTAATGAAGAGTCCCTCCCCAACATCCCTAAAGGCCCCCTTCAGATACTGGAAGGCTGCTATGAGGTCTCCACGCAGCCTTCTCTTCTCCAGACTGAACAGACCCAACTTCCTCAGCCTGTCTTCATACAGGAGGTGCTTCAGTCCCTGACATCCTCGTAGCCTCCTCTAGACTTGTTCCAGCATTTCCACATCCTTTATTTTAGTTCTGAGCAGCAGATGATGCCCAGTTTGAAAGGATTCTTTAGGTTGCTCTAAAGGAATTACTGTGACGTTTGCATGACTATTTACTATTTACTATGAGTATTTCATGCTTGCTATGAAACCACTGGACTGTTCCCAGGCAGTGCCTGTATCAGCAGGTTTAGCTGATCATGCTCAAAACCCCAGTTGGTGTGAAAACTTGGCAATGCCTAGGGAAGGTATTGATGAATTTCAGCTCCATAGCTTTGGAAAGAGGCTTTCCTCGATGTATTTCTCCTAGAAATTGGCCAAGCGGGTGGGAAGATGAGAGAATGAAATTACAGGAGGAATTAAACAGCATGGAAACGAAGTTGTTAAATACTACCCTCACACTCATTTTGATCCCCTAAACCTGCTTCAGCTTGGAGGTATGGATGGTCCTGTCTTTTCCAGCTGCCAGTCGGTGTTATTAATACATACACTCTTTATTGTTGAAGGACTATTCTTAAGGACAGCAGATTTTTCCGCTACTTGCACACGGCTGTGATAGTGAGTGGAACCATGCTGGTGTTTGGAGGAAACACGCACAACGACACCTCCATGAGCCACGGTGCAAAGTGCTTCTCTTCAGATTTTATGGCGTATGATATTGGTAAGTTGTCTCAAAAATGATCATCATAATACAAAGCATCCTGGGTAGACAAAAAGAGCTGTCATGGACTCGTTTCCATGCTGGGTAGATTATACCAAATGCTACTAAGAGTGCTGCAGAAGAATGTGTAATGAGGAGAGGCTCATTTACCTCGCTACACATTACCAAGCATATGAGCTGGTGCAGTGATTTCTAGGCAAATACAGCAGCAGTTACTTGGTCAAATGTTCAAACCCAACCTTGGGCATTAAAAGTTATTTCTTAAATGGTAAGCATATTGTTCTACTATCTCAGCCATAAAGCTATCCTGATGCTTTAAGTGTGTTTTAATCAATGATTTATCAAAAGTGCAGGCTGTTAGGACAGTTACAAGCACTGGACCCAGCTGAAACTCCACTTGTACAGTGCACGCTCTCGTTTTAACTGCAGCCTGGCTGACTTGTTTGGCTGTGTGGTTTGTAATGTCCATTTGTTTTATAAGCACAAATACCCCCATAAGTGCTCTTAAACAATAAAGCCAAACGATTAGTTTTTATTTGGATTGGGTTCAGTGAGTTTGAAAAGCCAGAAGAGGGCAGCATTTATTTGTGAATTTGGTGCATTGAAGAAGAAGAAGAAAAGAGATGAAATTATATAAAAGAAGGTGGAAGAGAAGCTCCCCTTTCCCCAGCTGTGTGCGCTGCAGTCCTGCATCCTGTCCTGCTCTGGAGCAGGGACGTGGAGCTGTTGGAGGGAGTGCAGAGGAGGCCATGGAGATGCTGCGAGGGCTGGAGCAGCTCTGCTCTGGAGCCAGGCTGAGAGAGCTGGGCTGGGGCAGCCTGGAGAAGAGAAGGCTCCTGAAGGGGAGACCTTAGAGCAGCTCCAGTGCCTAAAGGGGCTGCAGGAAAGCTGGAGAGGGGCTTGGGACAAGGGCCTGTAGGGACAGGCCAAGGGGAATGGCTTGAACCTGCCCGAGGGGAGACTGAGCTGAGCTCTTAGGCAGAAGCTCTTCCCTGTGAGGGTGCTGAGGCGCTGGCACAGGGTGCCCAGAGAAGCTGTGGCTGCCCCATCCCTGGCAGTGTTCGAGGCTAGGTTGGACACAGGGGCTTGGAGCAAGCTGCTCCAGTGGAAGGGGTCCCTGCCTGGACAGGAGCTTTAAGGTCCCTTCCAACCCAAACCAGTCTGTGACTCTATACTTCACAGGCAGAATGTTAAGGTAACTTCAAAATGCAGTTTCTGTGGGTTAAATAACCATTCTTTCTTATTTCTAAACAAGTTTTTGCTTTATGTTGTTTTCTTTTTTTGACCTCAGCATGAAATATTCATGTAGTGGCCATACTTGTATAATGATCTGTTCTCCCCACAGGAGGGAAATTAAAACTTTTCTATTTACCCCATCAAAAATTCAGTTTTGATGACAAACTGGATGTTTCCATAGCAGATGTGTTCTGTTTGAACAGCATATTTAATAAATCCTGGGCATTGTAAGGTTTAGGCTTGGCTTAACCCTTTAGTCAGGAAGGAGGGATTTCTTTGTGCTTTCAGACTTACTCATTTTTTCCAATGCTTGAGCTTTAGTTAAAGATGGGGAAGAAGCTTAGAAAGCAAAACATTCCAGGCCTTCTATTAATCCAGAAAAATATGTTTCTTGGCCTCACATAACTCACAACTTGATGGATATAAAATTGCAAATTGCTGTCCAATTTTGCTTAGGTCTCTTGTTAAGAATTGGAACCAGGCATGTTTGTCTCAGGAGTGATGCTGGGCCCAGTTTAACTCCTTGAGAAAGGCTCAAATGACGTCTAAAAATGAAGTTCAACATCACCATTTGTATTAAATCCAGCCAACTGGGTTCTGTTGTCTTTATTTCTCAGCCCTCTTGAACAGAAGTTTCTGCTGGATCAGGGGTTGGGGTCAGTTGTTTTCCTGATTAAACTGGGACAAAACCAAAGGAGGCTGTTTTTCTTTGCCCTTTCTGTGTACTAGTTTGGGTTTGGGGGCTCTTTGTTTTAGAGGTTTGGTCCATGGCACAACAGTTTCATCTTGTATTTATCTCTTCATCATGGACTGCAGTGATAGGATAAGGGTTCAAACTGAAACAGGGGAAGTTCAGGTTAGATATAAGGAAGAAGTTCTTTACTGTGAGGGTGGTGAGGCACTGGAATGGGTTGCCAGAAGCAGTGGTAAATGCTCCATCCCTGGCAGTGTTCAAGGCCAGGTTGGATGGAGCCTTGGGTGACACAGTCTAGCGTGAGGCATCCCTGCCCATTGCAGGGGGGTTGGAACTGGATGATCTTAAGGTCCTTTCCAACCCAAACCAATCTGGGATTCCATGATTCTATTAAAGAATCTTTTGAGTATTTGAGGGCTCTGCAGATCTTTACAGAAGATTGACTTTTCTGTTTTAATTGCATAAATTGCATACAGTGCTTCTGGGGTACCGGCCGCCAAGGTGATCCTATACACTGCCCAAAGTTGAAGTGATCGGAATTGGACTGACTTCTCCTGCTTTTGTTCCTTTGATTGCTCAGTGGCTTATATGTTTCTTAGGTTGTTTCTTTTGCCTTGCTGCCTAAAGGAAGAAATTACCTGAGAAACCGAGTCAAAAATGAAGCAGAGCTTAGAAATGTTATGCTAATAGAAAAAGGGTGGAATAATCTCACATTATGTTAAAAGAGAAAAACAACCACAAATCCTAAAGCTATGACGAGTGAAGAATATTTTGAAAAACATGGATCTCTGCCCTCTGGGAACATAATTGCAATGGAAAAAGAAAAAAAATAAACTAGATAAGTCTCTGTTCTCGGTGATGCTGGTTTGGGGCAAAACTGCAAATAAATCACATAGCAACAGATACAACCTGAACTTGTTACGCAGTGAAAAATTCCACTAGTAATGAAGAAAAAGCAGCTCAAGCCAATGCTGTTTGATTACACGTGATTGCCAAAAAGCTAATAACCCCTTCAACACAGTGCCCTGGAACTTCCCTTTAGTGAGGGCTTTAGATGATGGAGCAGAGCCATTGCATCCATCCCTTTTTGTCGCACTGTGGCAGCTGGGGTGAGGACTGAGCATTCTGCCTTGCGAAGGAAGATAACTCAGAGCTTCTGTCTACTGATTCACTCAAGATCTGCATTTTAGTGGTGGGTGGGATGGTTTCTCTATAGGTATTTAAGTAGAAATGTAGAATCATTGGTTGGAAAAGACCTTTAAGCACATCCAGTCCAATCGCTCCCCAGCACTGCCAAGGCCACCACTAACCCATGGCACTGAGGCCTCATCTCCACGCTGTGTGAACGCTTGCAGGGCTGGTGCCTGCAGCCCTGCTCTGGGCAGCCTGTTCCAATGCCTGAGCACCCTCTGGGGCAGGAATTGTTCCTCAGCTCCATCTAACCCTGCCCTGGTGCAGCTTGAGGCCGGTTCCTCTTGTCCCATCCCTTGTTCCTTGGGAGCAGAGCCCAGCCCCTCCTGGCTCCATCCTCCTGTCAGGCAGTTGGAGGCAGCCATCAGGTCCCCCCTGAGCCTTCTCTTCTCCAGACTGAACCCCCCAGGTCCTTCAGCCCTTCCCCATCACACTTGGGCTCCAGGCCCTGCACCAGCTCCTCTGCCCTTCTCTGGCCCCGCTCCAGCACCTCAATGTCTCCGTCAGTGTGCAGCCTCACCAGTGCCCAGTGGAGGGGCACAGTCACTGCCCTGGCCCTGCTGCCGCACTGGTGCTGATTCAGGCCACGATGCTGGGGGCTTCTTGGCTGCCTGGGCACAAGCTGCTCACATTCAGCCACTGTTGACCAACACCCCCAGGTCCTTTTCCGTGAGCAGCTTTCCAGCCACTCTTCCCCAAGTCTGGAGTGTTCTATGGGGTTGTCGTGACCCAAGTGCAGAAGTTCCCAAGTATTTCGGGATCTGTCAGGACGAAATGTGCTACATAAGTTGAGTCATGACTTATACTGAGAAACTATTCTGACATGAGCTTTTATTTCATCCTAGCATGTGACCGGTGGCATGTCCTTCCTCGCCCAGGTCTCCATCACGACGTGAACAGGTTTGGACACTCTGCTGTGCTGTACAACAGGTAAGGTCACAAACAAGCTGTGAGCTGTTGGTATTTCTCATACCACACTAAATGTGTGCAAGTCAATCAGTAACACTGAGACTGGATCTGTTGCAAACCTCTCAAAGCTCCCAGATCTTCACTCATATGCCTTTAGTACCTACCTGTTCCTGTCTGCCCTTCTTCAATTGACTAAATTGTTCCAGCTCAGTTCTTTCTAAAATCTGTGTTTTTTTTCCATATTTCTATTCCTTATTTATCTTATAATTTTATTTATAATTGTTTTCATTTATTTCCTATTTCTATATTAGCTGCACTGACAACTTTTATCTTCCCTCATGCTTTCTAAATCTGTCCCTATTTCACTTTATGTAACTTAGCCTGTATGATTCTTCTTTACATTCATGTGAGGTACAGTATTTAGGTGAAATGATAGGTGAGATTTCTGTTCTTAAGCATTACATCACTGTAATAATATCTGTGCTTTCAGCTGAGCATCTGTTACTGTGTTTGAGTCTGTGGAACCAGGCTTGAGGAGTGATATTTCGTAGGAGTCTTTCGTTCTGGTTCCTTTATCCTTTGAGGATACTTTCTGTAAATCACTAGCATTATTTAAAGCTCAGTTTAAGCCAGGCAGATGACTGTCACTGCCTTGGAAAAGAGGGCTTGCTTCTAGATACTCTGTTTGCTTCTGAACACTCACTCACTACCTGCTTGTTTTGGTGTACTGAATACCAGCCGTGCATTTACTTCCATGAAGGACAGCTAAACCTTTGCATCAGTTCTTTTAATCCGAAAATAGGATGAAAATCATATTAATAAATACTTATTATTCAACCAAACCCTTTCTTTTCAGTTACACTGACTCTTCTTCACTCTGTTTTAAATGTGCGTTTTACAAACATGGATGCACAGAGGCTTTTTGGGTGGCATTTTTGTGTAACTAATGAAATTTGATGTTTTGCCTGAAGCATTTGAGATACTAAAGAAGGCTTGAAAAAAAACCCCATCTTCCCCCTCCCCTAAGTACTATTTGGTTTTGGGGTTTGGTGGTGTTCTGGTTTTTCTTTTGGTTGACACAGTGACTCTTTGCTCTGTGTCCAAGAGCCATGAAAATAACTGCTTTTGTCACAGTGGCGCAGGGAGATGCGGCAACACTGAGTAGCTTTGTCACAGTTTCTGCACGCTGGTTCAATGGTGTGAAACCATCTCCCTCCTTTTTAGCCTTCCTCCCTCTCTTGCCACTGTTCTCTGCAGGAGGATCTTGCATTCCCGCAGCATTTCGTGTATAGTCACTTTGAGGAGGTGCCACTCAGAGCTTTGGCTGATGGGGAGCGTTGGTCCATGACCTCGCATAGGTTCGACTCTGTTGCAGCACCCTTGTGTTGAGACTTTGCGGGTTCTCTGAAACAGTGGAACTTGCCTGACCTTTCATTTAGTGTTTTCCTTAACCATGAGCTGTTTATTTGGATTTATACATTCTGGAGTGTTGTAAACCGCTTTGTTCACACCTTGGATCACATTGACCGGGAGCAGCACGTGGTCTCCGAACACAGATGTGAGGTTTTTTTTTTTTTTATCCCTTTTGTTTTGTCTAGCACCATGTATGTGTTTGGAGGCTTCAACAGCCTCCTCCTGAGTGACATCCTGAAGTACACACCTGAGAAATGTGAAGCTTTTGACAACGAAACAGCCTGTGTGAGAACAGGCCGTGGTGTCAGATGTGTGTGGGTCAGAGTCCCCCCTCACTGCATCCCCTGGGAAATGGCATCCATAAAGCAGCAGCAAAAAGTCTTTGAAGACTGTCCTCCCAAGCCAGGTATGTGCCACGTTTCTCTTTCCAAAAGGCATGTAGGGTCCTTTTCTAATTACAACAATATTAGTTGTATGCCGTTATCAGACCAAGTGTAAGATGATGGGGTTGTGCTTCCATGCATGCCCTGGGGGACCTTCCTCTGACCAAGTGCCTGCAGCAATGTGGATATGTTTCCATCTCTCACTCCTCCTGAAGCTGCTTGCTCATTGGGTTTGTTTCCTACCATACTGCTTGTACTTACTTTCCCATCCTAAACAGACATCATCAGTCAGGAATCAAGGTTGGACCATTGCTCTGTAGATGTTTGCTCCAAGAACTGGCCTTGTGAGAGGCAGCAATTCACTGATGGGCACCATGGGGCAAGGGAGGATGGTCTGGGTCCTGCAGTGTTACCCTGTGCTCTTCAAGACAGCAGGAATCGTGTTTTAAAAAGATACTTTATTTTTGTTTCTACGGTACTATAAGAATAAGGACATACAGAAAGAATGCTTGTTTTAAGGTCCAATTCCTGTGTTCTCCCTTATGATAATTTCTAGATAACTTTTCAATGCTTTATCCTGGTGCATTCATTGCTTCGAATTGAATTATACGAACCTTGATGCTGGAATAGATGGCAGCCTTTACTTATTTAATAGAAATTGATGTAAAGAGACATTGCTTTGATGGGCTCTCAATGTACAGTAAATTTTCACAATACACAGGCAATAAGCCATTGGAAAGATGAAGTGGAAAGTTCAGGTTTTGCATGTAATCGAAGGCCAGGCTTGCTGCAGCATGGTGGGAGATGTTCACTTTCCTTGTGGATTGTCTTCTGGCATCATTTGAACAGGCATTGACTGAACATGTTTACATACCTTGGTGCATTTTGTGATGGTGTTTTACTGCTCCTCAGGCGCTAAAACTGATTGATGCTGCAAATGAATGTGCTTTTCTATCAGTTCAATCACATGAGAGCATCTGATTTACCAAGTAGCTGATAACGGAAAATCCACAGGCGCTACTGTTTGGTTGTATCTTGTGCTGTATGTAATCAAGTTCTTAGAGCTCTGTCAGGAAATGCCTGTTTTTGGTCATGCAGGTTTTTTTCTTTAATAGCTGTAGACAGTGAAAAATGTGATCAGATTACAGACTGCTATAGCTGTACAGCCAATACAAACAACTGCCAATGGTGCACTGACCAGTGCGTCTCAATACAGAACAACTGCACAGAGGAACAGGTAAAGTGTCTCTAATTCTTCTGTAGTTTAAATGAATTTGAAACAGCAAATGTCCATCTGTCAGTGTTATGACCCTTGTGTTGTTATTTCTAGCTCTAAACTGGTTTTGAGTTGGTCCAAGGGCTTTTGGTGGGACTCTTCCCCTTATGTTGGGAGGATGGCTATGGGTAGGGGAAAAGGTGGAGGTTTCATGAAGGTGTGCTTATCACTAAGGCACCTTAGTTGGGGTTGCTTATTAGTACAGTATTCCTTAAGGAAAAACTTAACCCTTTTGTAGAAGCTCTGGTAAGGATAATGTATAATGGTGGTGTGGGGGAATACCTTGAATACAGAGCACAGGCTATGCCCAGTGTCACAGCTTCTGAATACATGGATTGCTTTGTAGGTCTGAACTGTGAAGTTCAGTGTAATAAGGTTGGCTGTTATAAACCGGCATTATTTGGATGGGAAAAAGCCTCATCTGTGCTGTTTCTTGTAGGTTCCTATTACTGTCTATGACAGTTGTCCAAAGGATAACCCTGCCTATTACTGTAACAAAAAGACAAGTTGCAAAAGCTGTGCCATGGATCAAAACTGCCAGTGGGAACCTAGGAATCAGGAGTGCATCGCTTTACCAGGTAGGTACTGATTGTATTTGCATAACAAACCCTAAATTCACCCAGTCCAAAAGCTGTGGGACTTTTTACTTTTATTTTTGGGGTTTTTATCCCCCAAATGTGTAATATTTAGTGCTAAGCAGGAGTAAATAATGTTGTTCAATCATACCAGCTTTAATATGAAACTTTATTTCCAGTCAAGCCTGATGGAATACTTTTCAGTCCCAGTTGTCTGAAGAGGAGTGTGATCATTTGTATAATTATAAGGCTGTATTTCATCTCTCTCTTTTCATTTGATGAAAGTGGGACTGTTGATATAATAGGCTTCTGCAAGATATTAGATTTAATAATGCATGCTATTTAATTTTAGCAAGTAGACTTGTGCAAAGGCGTAATGGCACATACTGGACGAATTAGCTGAGTAATAGCTAAAGTGTATAAGGAAAGTTCTCTTATTAGAGTGTTTCCAGTGGGAGATCATAGGAGTTAGGGTATTAGTCCCCCTGTACTAAGTCTTTTTCTTCTTTCCCCAGTAGCTGGGAAATAAATGTAACATCTTCAGTGATTAACACTTGGAGTTAATAAAGAATAGGGAAAGGGGAAAACCCAAACCAAACAGGACCTTTTAATGGGCATGGAAAGCCTGATTCCCCTAGTAACTCTGGTACGTCTGGAAGAATGAAAAACTGAAGAGACTTTGGAGAACCACAGAATCCCAGCCTTGTTTGTGTTGGAAGGGACCTTAAAGCTCCTCCAGCCCCAACCCCTGCCACAGGCAGGGACCCCTTCCACTGGAGCAGCTTGCTCCAAGCCCCTGTGTCCAACCTGGCCTTGAACACTGCCAGGGATGGGGCAGCCACAGCTTCTCTGGGCACCCTGTGCCAGCGCCTCAGCACCCTCACAGGGAAGAGCTTCTGCCTAAGAGCTCAGCTCAGTCTCCCCTTGGGCAGGTTCAAGCCATTCCCCTTGGCCTGTCCCTACAGGCCCTTGTCCCAAGCCCCTCTCCAGCTTTCCTGCAGCCCCTTTAGGCACTGGAGCTGCTCTAAGGTCTCCCCTTCAGGAGCCTTCTCTTCTCCAGGCTGCCCCAGCCCAGCTCTCTCAGCCTGGCTCCAGAGCAGAGCTGCTCCAGCCCTTGCAGCATCTCCATGGCCTCCTCTGGCCTCGCTCCAACAGCTCCACGTCCCTCTTGTGCTGCTGCCCCAGAGCTGGATCAGGGCTGCAGGGGGGGTCTCCCCAGAGAACAGCAGAGGGGCAGGATCCCCTCCCTGAGCTGCTGCTCACACTCTGGGGGTGCACCCAGCACACGGGGGAGTTCTGGGCTCAAGCGCTCACTGAAGGTGGGTCATGGGGAGCTTCTCCTCACCCAGCACCCCCAAGTGCTGCTGCTCAGGGCTGCTTCATCAGGAGAGCCATGAGAGTGAGAAAACCATCTTTTAATGAGACAAAGAGCTTGGTCTGTTTAATTTGTTGTAGAAAAAGGGGTGACTTGATCATAGGTGTAAAAAGCCCATCTGAGAAACTGACACTTGAGAGCTTTTCAATCTGTTAAATCTAAACCAAGATGTTGGAGCTAGACATCAGCTCTGCAGAAATTCACACTGAATATGTCCATCAGGTTTTCTGTAAGGGAAATAATTAACCCCAAAGCATAAGGAGTTCTTTAGTAGCAGGGATGGCTGTGCTCAATATGAAACAGGGATTAATCCTGCAAGTTGGAAGCTGTGGCAGGATTAGCCCATCAACCCTCTTCTGTTGCTTGGTATCCTAATAACTTCGGTTGAATAAGTGGCTTTAAACCATCAGCAAAATACTCATTTGCTTTCCTCTGCTTGCTCTTCTACAGTGGTTTTACTATTTGATGTTGAAACGAGTGCTTTGACCACCTACTGCCAATAACTTAAGTGCTGATGTCGCACTTCAGCTCCCCTAAACAGCTTTCCTTTTCCTCCGGGATTATCCTACATAGATACTTGTGAGCATGCCAATAAGTCATGCTCATGGGATGGGGCTGGAGGTTTTATTGTGGTGGAAGGGTTACTTTATATGCAGAGAAGCTCACTTGCATCTCTTATCCTCCCCTCTAGAAAACATCTGTGGAACAAACTGGCATTTGGTTGGCAACTCCTGCTTGAAAATCACAAACGCAAAGGAGACCTATGATCACGCCAAACTGTCCTGCAGATCCAACGGTGCTTTGCTGGCTTCACTCACGACGCAGAAAAAGGTGGAGTTTGTTCTCAAGGAGCTGCAGAAGATGCAGTCTTCGGTGAGTGCTTCTCTTTTCTGTTCCCTGAGTAAGCTCTGACTGCAGAGAAGTCCTTGCTGTGGTATTGTATGCTCGGTGCGGAACAGACATGCCTCTTCAGTGCAAAGGGCTGCTCTTTCTTTTGAAATTCAGCATCCCCTCTGGGTGCTTTTGAACCAATATTGTAGGGAATGTAAATGGGGAAGATAAATATAAACACACACTGTGCCTCAAAGGTATCGCATCTGCAGTGGAATCACATACACATGTCTCTTGTGGCGAAACACGACTGCGGCAGGGCTCCTCTCGTGACTTGTACACAACAGTTGATAAATAAAGGTCCCTTTGGGGCACCAGAGGTGCTTCATGTAAAGCATTTCAAGTTGTTTATTCTGCTTAGAAAAGGAGCTGTGTGAAAAGTTGGCTTCTTTAGAGCTGGTTAGCTTTGTTTTAGTGGCAGGTGCTTTTCTGTCGGAGCTGGTGAGAAGCAAATTGGAATCTGTTCCTCTTTATGCATCAAGAAAATAAATGCTTATTTATTTCCTGGTCGCAACAGAAGTTTATAGAATCATAGAATAGTTAGGGTTGGAAAGGACCTTAAGATCATCCAGTTCCAAACTGGATGCCATGGGCAGGGACACCTCACACTAAACCATGGCACCCAAGGCTCTGTCCAACCTGGCCTTGAACACTGCCAGGGATGGAGCATTCACAGCCTCCCTGGGCAACCCATTCCAGTGCCTCACCACCCTAACAGTAAAGAACTTCCTCCTTATATCCAATCTAAACTTCCCCTGTTTAAGTTTTAACCTGTTTAAACCAGTTTGGAGGTTTTCTGGGCAGGTTGTGTAGCTGATGCTAAAGCCCTAACAAGGAGTGATGCTGGGCAGCTTTGCTGAAAGCCTAGGTTAGGCTGCAGAGCTGCTGAGGCTTCACAGCATATCAGGCTCACTCCTCATGGGTCCCGAGGATGCTGTGGGCAGGGCTGGCAAACAGGGAGAGCTTTATATTGGGAAAGATTGGGCAATAGGAAGGAATTCTTTACTACAAGAGTGGTGAGCACAGAGGAGCTGTGGCTGCCCCATCCCTGGCAGTGCTCAAGGCCAGGCTGGACACAGGGGCTTGGAGCAAGCTGCTCCAGTGGAAGGGGTTCCTGCCTGTGGCAGGGGGTTGGAACTGGAGGAGCTTTAAGGTCCCTTCCAAGCCCAGATCATTTGTGATTCTATGATCCAATGAAAAATGAGGCTGGAGGCAGTAGCATTGCTGCTTTCCACAGAATGTACTTGAATACTAAAGAGCAATATTCCCCTGTTGAAATGAAAACATTCCCTGCTTTGATTCTCTTTGTAATTTTAAATTGGCATTTCCACAATTACAGAGTTTTAGAGGGGTTTCCATTTAGCCATAAAAAAGTAAGGTTCAATTCAAGCAAGATTGTTTGTTAAATCTTTTGTAAAGAGGGGAAGTCAAACCTGGGATGCAGTAAAAGTGTGTGGTTCCAACAGCTCCAGGTGTTTCTGGATATGCCAGTTGTGAAGTGTAGTGTAAATCCCTAGAGACACATGGCAACCCTCACCTAATAGCGTTTGGACCAGTACACTGGGGAGAAAAAAGCTGGTAATCTACAGCTTTTTTTCTTCTATAGTGTCCTTTAAAAAGAGAGCCTTGGAAATCTAAAGAGACTGTAAGTTCTTTTTAGTGGGTATCAGTAAGGAATGTTTGTAATGTGGGAAAATGCCTTTGCTAAAATCCAGCCTGTGTCTGGTACGTGAACTTGTGCCACTCACTGGCATGTTGTGACTGTTCTAGGGGAGGCTGTGGTTTGCAGTTGCTCCTTTAAATAAGCTGTGTATAGATGTTTTGGAGTAGTATCTGTAATGTAGGTAATAACACCAGTACCTAAAGGGGCTGCAGGAAAGCTGGAGAGGGGCTTGGGACAAGGGCCTGTAGGGACAGGCCAAGGGGAATGGCTTGAACCTGCCCAAGGGGAGACTGAGCTGAGCTCTTAGGCAGAAGCTCTTCCCTGTGAGGGTGCTGAGGCGCTGGCACAGGGTGCCCAGAGAAGCTGTGGCTGCCCCATCCCTGGCAGTGCTCAAGGCCAGGTTGGACACAGGGGCTTGGAGCAAGCTGCTCCAGTGGAAGGGGTCCCTGCCTGTGGCAGGGGGTTGGAACCAGATGAGCTTTAAGGTCCCTTCCAGTCCAAACCAGTCTGGGATTCTATATCAAAAGAGTTAAACTGCCTTTCCTCAATATAAGCATGCTAAAAAAGAAATTGCCAGTAGAAATAGCTGTGTTATGAGTTCTTCATATGGAGAATTTTATTACCAGCAACACAAATTCAGATTTGCCCTGCTCTGTCTCTCCACCCATCCATATATACATGCTGTTAAAAAGCAGAGGTCTCCCAGTCACACAGCAGAGTAACTAGATTGTATCATTTAAATTGTACAGGGGATAGCTAGTTTTCTTCCTCATGTCAAACTGTAGCTCCTGAATTTCTTTTCCTATCTCTAGCCATTTATAGGAGTCACAGGCATATAAAGAGCAATGAAACTTGCAGTTAATGTCAGTGTGAAGGTTTGATTTGCTCTCCTCTTGGTTCAGATAATAAGAAATTCAGTTAGGAAGTGAACCAGTGGTGTTTCCTGCAGGATTTCTCTGTCTCTGGCATTTAATTCTGATAGCACTGGGAAACAACTACTTCCCTCATCTGTTTTTGCAATACCTAACCTGGCAAAGTTGTTATGAGCGTTATATGGTGATGTATATTTTCTTTTCATACCCAAGGTAATAAAACTGAGCATTAACTCTACTGTTTTCCTTTATTTCTAGCCCAAAACTTTGACTCCATGGGTTGGCCTGAGGAAGATCAACGTGTCTTATTGGTGCTGGGAAGACATGTCCCCCTTCACCAACAGCCTCCTCAAGTGGCTCCCCAGTGAACCAAGCGATGCTGGATTTTGTGGTTATTTAGCTGAGCTTTCCAATGAGGGCCTGAAGGCTGCAACGTGCATCAATGAGGTCAACGGCAGTGTCTGTGAGAGGCCAGGTGATGAGATCCAACTCGTGTGTCTCATGGAAGCAGGAGGGCTGATAAGAATTTATATGTCCTGCAGGGAGTAAAGAGGATCCCATTCATTAGTTTAAGACTGGCTGCATCATGATGGGTCCAGAGAAAAGCAATGGAGCTGGTGCAGGGCCTGGAGCCCAAGTGTGATGGGGAAGGGCTGAGGGACCTGGGGGGTTCAGTCTGGAGAAGAGAAGGCTCAGGGGGGACCTGATGGCTGCCTCCAACTGCCTGACAGGAGGATGGAGCCAGGAGGGGCTGGGCTCTGCTCCCAAGGAACAAGGGATGGGACAAGAGGAACCGGCCTCAAGCTGCACCAGGGCAGGTTTAGATGGAGCTGAGGAACAATTCCTGCCCCAGAGGGTGCTCAGGCATTGGAACAGGCTGCCCAGGGCAGGGCTGCAGGCACCGGCCCTGCAAGTGTTCACACAGCATGGAGATGAGGCCTCATTGCCATGGGTTAGTGGTGGCCTTGGCAGTGCTGGGAATGGTTGTATTTGATCATCTTAAAGGTTTTTTCCAACTTGGCTGATTCTCTGTTTCTATGACATTGCCAAAGAAAAGTGGTTCTGGAAAAGTGTCTTGTGTAGGTATTTCATGCAGGAATTGGAGATCTGAATTTTACACTGTTAGCTGTAAACTGCTCCACGTACATTAGAGTTTAATTATTTTTATCTAAATTGCATACCTGAATGTGACATTTAGGTTAATTATAGCATGGAGCAATCTCCCATTTATAACTGAAATAAATCAAAGCTACTTTCCAGCTGAACTCCCCCTTCTTCCCTCCCTTGCTTCGTAGCCAGGGGAGGATTTTACCAAACGTTGAAACAAACTGGGAAAAACACTTTGGAAATGTGAGAACTTTGACAAAGAACCCCTGTGCTTTGGGGAGAAGCCTTCGAGTGTCATTGGAACCACCTCCTTTTCCCAAGGGCTTGGTCTGTTGCCTCTCCATCATAGCTGATTATTTCTGAATACCTCTTTAAGTTCTAAGAAAGCTGGCTGATTGCATGGAATTTCTACAGTTCCATGTAATCAGCCACCACTTTAAATCATCCGCTGTGGAAGAGCAGGATGCAGATCATGGATGTGGAACCTGACCTCAAAGCCTTGTATATTTTGACTTGCAGCACTGTGAATTCGTTTAAGCTTTAACTTGTTTTTTATGGTCTGAGAACAACCACTTGAAATGGTTGATAAAGCATTGGCTCACAGCAGAAACTCCTGTGTTAGAGCTGCTTTCAGTGCTCAATTTACGTGTGGAACTGATTAAATAACTTAGAACACGTCCCAGTGTGCTCACATAAAAAGTGGGATTCCTTCCCAGCGCTTTGGGTGAGAGGATAGCTAAGGAGACCATTTACACACCTGCAGACAGATTAAGACCACATTCATGCACCATTTAAGTTGTTTCCTGCCCACCTTAGAAAGGTATTAACACTTGGAGGACACATAAAGAGGGAAATATGTCACAGTACATAGTGCATTTCTAATATTCACTGTTGAAAAGCTATCTCCAGCTCCATCCAGCATCACCGCATCCCAGAGGAAGTGGTTCAGACCTATGATACTGAACTATTTTTCATCCCCAATATTAGTGAAGGCTTTTTACCTTCAGCCTTTCCATCTTGGGGCTTGTTGCCTGTTTCTTTCAGGGGGGAAAGCTGACTCTTGTGTGTGTGTGTGTATCTCCTGCAGCTAACCACAGCGCCAAGCAGTGCCGCACGCCCTGCGCCCTGCGGACCATGTGCGGGGAGTGCACGAGCGGCAGCTCCGAATGCATGTGGTGCAGCAACATGAAACAGTGCGTGGACTCCAACGCTTACGTGGCCTCCTTCCCCTACGGGCAGTGCATGGAGTGGTACACCATGAGCAGTTGTCCACGTGAGTAATTGCTTCTGTGTCTCAATGGGTGGGATGGGGTCGTGTGTCTGCTGGCATGTCATAGAATGGTTTGTGTTGGAAGGGGCCTTAAGGCTCCTCCAGCTCCAACCCCTGCCACAGGCAGGGACCCCTTCCACTGGAGCAGCTTGCTCCAAGCCCCTGTGTCCAACCTGGCCTTGAGCACTGCCAGGGATGGGGCAGCCACAGCTTCTCTGGGCACCCTGTGCCAGCGCCTCAACACCCTCACAGGGAAGAGCTTCTGCCTAAGAGCTCAGCTCAGTCTCCCCTCAGGCAAGTTCAAGCCATTCCCCTTGGCTTGTTGCTCCCCTGATCTGCTGCTCATGCTCTGGGGGTTCTGGGCTCAAGCATACACTAAAGCTTGGGTCATGGGGAGCTTCTCCTCACCCAATGCCCCCAAGTCCTTCTCCTCATGGATTCTGTCTATGCATTCTTTTCCAGCCTAGAGTTGTGCTTGGGATTGCCCTCACGTAGTACCTTGCACTTGGCCTTGTTGAGCTCCATGAGGTTTGCTCAGTCCCACTTCTCCAGCCTGTCCAGGTCTTTCTTGACTCCATCCCTTCCCTTCAGTGTGATGACTGCACCACTCAGCTCGGTGTTGTCATTAAACCTGCTGAGGGAGGTAGCAAAAGTCATCAAAGCACCCATAAGTCACAGTGAAAATCCACTGGACAGAGGTGACAAGTGCCTGACCCCAAGAGCTCTGTGTGTCCACCTCAGTCCTGCATTGTGTAAAGCATTAAATGGAATTACGTCCCAGTGACGGGAACTGTCAGTTTAACTAAACGGCACGTAGTGAAGGCTTTCATGTGAGATGATGAAACCTCCACATTTTGTTTTACATGATGTACTTGTGTCATTATTTGAATTTCCATCCTTCAAATTAATTGTTGCATAATTCCATGTGATCAATTGCTTTTGTAGCTCTTCTGCATCTCTTTTATTCACATATGGAGCTATGTAATTTAATTAGACTGTCAAATCCAGGTTAGGGTTTACAGGACTGATTTATTCTGAAGTATTGTCCACATACAGCCCAAAGTAGGAATTTCAAACTTGGTTTAAATTAATCATTTCCTTTTTACCCTTTAGGCTGATGTGAGCAAAGTGCCAGAGATTGAGGGTGCTTTGGAGCATGGTTTTTGGTTTCATACTTGGGTGAAATAGCCTAGAAATTGATGAACAGCTTTAGAAGTTATTTATGTTGAGACCCTTAGGAGCTGTGTGGTGGCAGGAGAGTTGGGATAGCCAGGAGTGTCCAGATAGCCTAGGGAGAGGAGTGTGTGTGATCCCCAGGAGGGAAGCTGGGCAGTTGGAGATGCTGTATTTGCTCCAGGAACTTTTGGAAGCTGATGAGAATAAGTTCAAAAGTGTTGCCAAATCCAGGAAATTAGTTTCAGGTAACAGTCACACATGAGAGTGGGAACTTCCCATATTGCCAAAGGTCAGGAGCTGGAGGAAGCATCGGGGAGGAGGTGTGTTATTTCAGTAGGCTGAAATAATGGAAAACAATGGTTTTCTACTGCTTTTTGTCTTAAAGACAAATACTGTTTATTTAAACATTACTGTTTATTTAGCTGGCAGTGTGTGCTCACAGCCCAGAAAGCAACCGTATCCTGGGCTGCATCCAAAGGAGCGTGACCAGCAGGTCGAAGGAGGTGATCCTGCCCCTCTACTCTGCTCTCGTGAGACCTCACCTGGAGCATTGTGTGCAGTTCTGGTGTCCTCAACATGAAAAGGACATGGAACTGTTGGAACACGTCCAGAGGAAGCCACGAGGATGATCAGGGGCTGGAGCAGCTCCTGTATAAAGATAGGCTGAGAAAGTTGGGGCTGTTCAGCCTGGAGAAGAGAAGGCTGCGTGGAGACCTCAGAGCAGCTTCCAGTATCTGAAGGGGGCCTGTAGGGATGCTGGGGAGGTACTCTTCATTAGGGACTGTAGTGACAGGACAAGGGGTAATGGGTTAAAACTGAAACAGGGGAAGTTTAGATTGGATATAAGGAAGAAGTTATTTCCTGTGAGCGTGCTGAGGCACTGGAATGGGTTGGCCAGGGAAGTTGTGAATGCTCCATCCCTGGCGGTGTTCAAGGCCAAGTTGGACAGAGCCTCAGGTGAGATGGTTTAGTGTGAGGTGTCCCTGCCCATGGCAGGGGGTTGGAACCGAATGATCTTAAGGTCCTTTCCAACCCTAACTATTCTATGATTCTATGAAACATCAAGATGGAACACCAAGAATCTAAAATACCTTTTCTAAGATGGGATGGGGAAAGGAATAGAGAAACTTTTCTATGTGGAAAAAGTTTGTCACCACTGAAATACAATCCCATTTGAGAAGGGAATGGTGAAAGGGTGGGGGTGGCTTTTCCTTGATACAGTTGATTGCTGGGCTCAGGGATCTGCATGTGGCACTCTGGGCATCCTAAGACAGATTTGATTCTCTGTTTGTTTTCTATTTGTATTCTGTGCATTTTGGATCAATAAATACTTTCAATAGCAGCATGGGATATTAAAGCCTATATCTAAGAAGAGACTCAAAGCGAGCAAACAGACTGGTTTTTAGCCTTTGCTTCCAGATGGCTGATTTTATCATCTGATGTGTTGTACATCAGAGATCTTTTGCAGCTGGGAACATTAACCTCTGGTTTCAGTGCATGGTGTGCAATGGTTAGAAAAAAACCTTTATGAGTGTATTGTGTTCTTTCATAGCATCCGGTTCCAGCCCCTGCCACGGGCAGGGACTCCTTCCACTAGAGCAGCTTGCTTCAATGCCCTGTGTCCAACCTGGCCTTGAACACTGCCAGGGACGGGGCAACCACGACAAATATGATGATATGAATGAATATATATGTAGATATATATTCATTCAATGAGTGTGTGTATATATATATATATGAGTATATCTGTATATACTCATTCAGGCATGTGAGGCTCAGACAAGGGAGAATGGCCTTAAACTGACAGAGGGGAGATTTGGAATAGACCTTAGGCAGAAGCTCTTTCCTGTGAGGGTGCTGAGGCGCTGGCACAAGGTGCCCAGAGAAGCTGTGGCTGCCCCATCCCTGGCAGTGTTCAACTAGAGCACTAGAACTGGATGATCTTCAAGGTTCCTTCCAACCCAAACCGTTTTATGGTTCTGATATATGTATTACTGTGTGTACCAGAACAAATGGTTACCGATTGGGTGTTATAAATGCTTAAGGTCAGAAAGGACATGAAAGGGTTTCTGTGTCCATTCTTGTCTGTGTTTTGGGGCGGTGATTTATGCCACAATTTGATGTTTGATTTTGTCTGTATAGCTGAAAACTGTTCCGGTTACTGCACGTGTGCTCACTGTCTGGAGCAGCCTGGCTGCGGTTGGTGCACGGATCCAAGCAACACAGGCAAAGGGAAGTGCATCGAAGGCTCCTATAGAGGTCCGGTGAAGATGCCAACCCCATCCTCAACAGGGAAACATAGTTTGGAGCCCGTCCTCAATGTCAGCATGTGTCCTGTGGAGAACAGCTATAATTGGTCTTTTATTCAGTGTCCAGGTAAATGAGCAATGTTTAATTGTTCAAACAATTCAGCCATGGAAACAGTTAAATGTGAGGGGAGAGGCTGTTTCAGACTGTTGTGTTGTCTGTGTTCCCTCCTGTCCATGGAGGGATGAAAAGAGCTTGGAAGACAGAAGAAATAACACATTTTGAGGTGGAAGGAGTTATGCGGCTGTCTGCAGGGGAGCTGAATGAAGACTATGCATTACTGCAGTGAAATGTTCCCTTTCCCTGCAAACCATTACTGAGTTTTAACTTCAGTTTGCTTGTTTGGCTTAGGGTTGTTGGAAAACAAGGCAGTTCTCTCTCTGAAGGGTAATTTAACTGTTAGTAATGCTCAGGGAGATTCTGAAATAACACTTTTGACACCAAACTTATGGAATGAAATTACATGGACTGCTGCTAAAACCTTTCTTCCTCATTCCTCTTTGTAAATCTGTCCCACCAGCTGCTTCCCGTCGTGTCTTTACAGTATGCACATAATGTTTTGGAGTTCAGTTTTCCATGGATTGCTTTAAATTCCATGTTTTCAACACACACCTTTCTGAGTTCATGGGTCTCTAGCAAGACTGCAAGAATCTCTTTGAAAGGTGCATGAAATGGTTCCATTCAGGCTCTGCAGAACACAGAGCTCTGAGGATCTAAATAAAGCACTATATTTGAGCACAGATACTCATCCTTTCCTCTCTCCTGCAGCCTGCCAGTGTAACGGGCACAGTAAGTGTGTCAATGAAAGCATCTGTGAGAAGTGTGAAAATCTGACGACTGGCAAACACTGTGAAACTTGTATCTCAGGCTACTATGGTGATCCTACTAATGGAGGAACATGTCAGCGTAAGTGATGCCTTCAATCTTCCTGCACTGAAGTCTTTGGTGTTTCCTCTCTTTACTCATTCCTCAGCTATCTTAACTGAAATTATACCCTGATAATACGTGATGTCTTTCCTGCAGGCAAGGCACAATCCTTATTTCTTCAAATGAAAGATAGGCAAACTGCTTGATGAAATTCTCTTTGACTTTCATTGCATGAGATAAAGCTGTTTTTTTACTGTCCTTCGTAAACTTGAGATGACCACAGTGAAAGACCTGTGATTTTTAGTGGTTGACAGCCTCATTTGGAAAAGAAACACCATTAATCCCAATGTCTTGAGCAAATTTCTGCTTATCTAAATTCCACCTTCTATTACATTTGGTTAATGTGTTGTGTGCTTATTGCTGTAATTGTCTCTGCATAAAAGGCTTGCCATATTGCACGGAGGAGTTGGCTGGATTTCAGTTGAGGATTAGGTGAACCCTTGTTAAAATTGCATTTTAAGTTTGTCAAGTGCTTTGGGGCTCTTTGGCACGAAGAACTTTTTGTGATTGTGCAAGATCCAGTTAAGAAGCAGGGAAAAAGTCTTTCCTGAGGGAGCAATACAGGTAAATATGAAATGAACATGAGGGATTGGGAGTTTTGCCCTTGAACTTTGCAGCATTATTCTGAGTTACTGTGAATTTTGTAGCTGTAGCATGGGGAGGTGAGTTGTAAACCAGAATCCAGCTGTGAGAGGTGATGTACAGATGTATGGGAAGGTGCCTCTTACTCTGAAGAGCTTTAATGGACTGCAGTTAGGTGGAGTGATATAATTCATAGAATCCCAGCCTGGTTTGGGTTGAAGGGAGCTTAAAGCTCATCCAGGTCCAACCTTCCTGCAGTGAGCAGGGACCCCTTCCACTAGAGCAGCTTTCTCCAAGCCCCTGTGTCCAACCTGGCCTTGAACACTGCCAGGGATGGGGCAGCCACAGCTTCTCTGGGCACCCTGTGCCAGTGCCTCAGCACCCTCACAGGGAAGAGCTTCTGCCTAAGAGCTCAGCTCAGTCTCCCCTTTGGCAAGGTTAAAGCCATTCCTTGTTCTATCCTTTCATGCCCTTGTAAAAGACTTTGTTTAGTCCAGGACGTTGCTGTAAATCAGTGCTGCTTGAGGAGGACATCCAGGATCATTTCAATCTCACATTCTGGAGACATCCCAAAAGCAGCTCTGCTGCTTCCTTGCCATGTAACCCTCAGCTTCCTCCTCCCAGGCTAGATACAGTGATGGGAAAGGTAGAACCACAATAACATCGTTCACTGTCAGAGTAATATCAGTACTTCCACATAAAAGAGTGCGGATGTTTTTTAGACATCCCAGAAGAAATAAGGGAACATGATTAATGAGGGGACATTGAAGAGTTTGAGTTGCTCCTTCCAAGTATGGAGAAAATCCAGTAGAATATACTTGGAGGCACATGAAATTCCATTGACCTTTTGGATGAAGATGAGAGTCAGTAGCTGGAGCATGAACGTCCTGTTTCCTAAAGCAAGAGCATGTTGGTGGCAAATGAGGCAATGAAGAACCTTCACGTGGACACATTTTGGGGGGGGGGGGGGGGGGTGTGATGAAAAGATCACAGCAGGTATGAGGCTGCTTTGCTTAGAGGAAAGGGTGTTGCAGTGGTTGGGATATGAAATTACAGCAGGCAGCACAACAGCATGGCTGCAGAGGAGAAGGTGCATCTCTGACACTTTATTCCAGAGCATTATCTGCAAGATTAAATACCGCTGATATATGTAAACTCATTTTGTGTGAAGATAATGTGAAGTGCAGGAGTGAATAAATTGAGGCTGAGTTGGCCTGAGAAGAGACACAATTCTACTCAAAGCATTCAGGTTTAATCACTGGATCTCAACGTGCCTTTTGATATTTGTTGCTTTTCTATGTGGATGGAAATTGAGAGTAAGTTCCTTTGGACTCTTTCGCATGAGGATAGTCCAAAACCAGTTTATTGTAGAGATAATGAATGATAGACTAAAGTCATCCAGATGCCTGAAAGAGAAATTAGAAAATGTGTTGAGAGACTGTGGAACAGCATTCATTTGTTATCTGATGAAACCAGTCGCTCATGTCAAAAGTGCTTTGCTCTCAAGTGCTTTGGGCCCGGGGTTTTAATTTGCTGTGATTTAACGGTATTTACTGTGAAGGTGAAAGAGTGAGGAAAACAGGAAGCTGGGCAGAAAGACTGAGGTGGGTTGGGAGAGGGAAAGCAAGAGGAAACCATCTGTCTTGATGCAGCCAGAGCCACTGCTGCGTATTTTCCTTGATGAGAAGGTTTCCAAAGGACAACTCCTCACATAAGGAATGGCTGATGGGCAGCAGAGCCAACTCCACCTTTTTCCCTCCTCCGAGCCATGGGTCCCTCCTTCCTTTCCCATTAATGATGTGCTGATTCCACTCTTTTTGTGTATTCTATGTCCAATGTTGTGTGTTGCGCTCTTTTTAGAGCCCGTGGTCGCATCTGTACTGGAGATGGTTGTTGGTACCCTCCACCCTGATGCACAAGCATCCGTGTGCACGCTGAGTGCCTTGTATGAGTCCTTCTGCTTTGGGGTGTAGATCTGTAGCATCAGTCCAATGGCCCCAGCAGCATGGGAACCATAAATGTCACAGAATGACAGCATCATTAGGGTTGGAAGGAACCTCTGGAGATCATCCTGCTCCAACCCCCTGCCAAGGCAGGGCCACCTAAAGCAGCCTACATAGAACATGTCCATGGTGGGGTTTGAATGTCTCCAGTTAGGGAGACTCCACAACCCCCCGTGCAGCCTGTGCCAGGGCTCTGTCACCTTCAGTGTATAGTTCTTTCTCCTGTTGAGGTGAAACTTCTTGTGTTTTATGGCCATTGCTCCTTGTCGTGTTGCTGGGTGCTGCTGAAAAGAGCCTGTTACCATTCTCCTGGCACACACCTTTGAGATATTGATCTATATTAATGAGATGCCCTCTCAGTCTGCTCTTTTCTAGACTAAACAGACCCAGCTCCCACAATCTCTCCTCATAATAAAGAAGATCCAGATCCTTGCTCATCCTTGTGGCCTCCGCTGAGCCCTCTCTAGTAGCTCATGGTATTTCTCGTACTGAGGAGCCCAGACTGGGACACAGTATTCCAGATGTGGCCTCAGCTGGGTCGAGTAGAGGGGGAGGAATCACCTCCCTTGACCTACTGCCACACTCCTCCCCATGCACCCCAGGATACTCTTGTCTCTCCTGGCTCGAGGGCACACTCCTGCTCATAGTTATTGTCATCCATCAACACTCCCAGGTGCTCAGCTGAACTGCTCTCTTGTAGGTCAGCCCTAAAAATCCTCAAAAAACCCATCCTCAAGAATAATAGCCTCAAAATGGCATCCATTTCCAGCACTGGGAAGAGTGCTAGTGTTTGGTATCCCCCATTCCATGAGGAGTCTGAGTGACACTGTTAGGATGGCAGCCGCCCTTCCAATGGGTTAGGCCATGCAGAGCTGGAAGTAACGGTCCTGGGGTTCGGAAGCCAGGGGAGGAATAAGAAGAGTGGATGGAATAAGTTGCTTTTTCCTTCTGCTCTGTGCCACCAGGTAAATGCTGCTGTATCCCTTGTGTTGAAAACGTTTTGATAAGCTGCAGTTACTTCTCTGAAGGAATTGGTTGCATATCATCATGGGCATTGGTGTTTGCGGAGCTGGGCAGATAATAACTAAACGGGAGGTAAATCACTCCTCAGCAGTTGCTTTTAGGTAGTATCCAACGTAGAGGAATGTTAATCGGGAAGGGCAGGCAATGCAGCACATCAAATGTAAAAATAGCTGCAAGGGGCTTTCTCTGCATTCAGGATTTAGAATTCTTCTGATTAAAGTTTCACAGGAAAATATGTTAGGGGTAGATAAGGAAGTTATTTGCAAGAGAAGGGAAGGCACTATTATGCCTGAAATCAGATTGCTGCAGTGGCAGCGCTTCTGAATGCCTCTGTGGAGCGTGTGCTGGTGGCCTGTGATGAGCTATAGTGCTGTGGTCCTGCCTGCTCCCTGCTGCCAGGTTGGCCTTAGAGGATGGTCAAAGCACTTAGAGTGAACAAATAGGGTTGGTCAGGTGGGTGATGTGGTTGCTCTTAGGAAGCTAGACCATTATAACTGCAGGAAGAGGAGCAGCGATCCCTGTGAACGTCTTGGAATGAGATCTTGACCCATGGCTTGGGAAGAAGGTGGAAAGAGACTCAATGTGAGGTGGTTCATTGTCAGACCGTGCTTCACAGTTATAGGATCATAGAATAGTTTGGGTTGGAAAGGACCTTAAGATCATCCAGTTTCAACCCCTTGCCACGGGCAGGGACACCTCACACTAGAGCAGGTTGATCCAAAACCCGTCCAGCCTGGCCTTGAACACTGCCAGGGATGGGGCAACCGCAGCTTCTCAGGGCATCCTATCGCCAATCCCTCAGCACCCTCACAGAGAAGAACTTCTTCCTTATATCTAACCTGAACTTCCCCTGTTTCAATTTGAGCCCATCACCCCTTGCCCTGTCACTGCAGTGCCTAACGAAGGTCCCTCTCCAGCATCCTTCTAGGCCAGTCAAAAAGCTGTTTCCAGTAATTTTGGCTTTCTGCTCTGGTGTTAAACTCTGGAGAGAAATACTCATTTGTAGACTCCAGTGTCTAATACTTCTTGTCCATAGTTTGTTTCCAAACTCCATAGTTGTTTGAAAAGCCGTGGGAAGATTTCTCTTTGGGCATATTCTGGTCCTTGATTCGGAGAAAACTCCAGGAACAAACTTGCCAACAAAGTTTTCAAGCTGACAAGCAGGTATTCTTTATTGCGGCGCCGGGAGACACGGGGGATAAATCCTCCTAACGTGTGTCCCCGTACTGCTATACAAGCCACCCTTATATAGTCACTGGGCATACATACATATTCATGAGGCTACGTATGGATTACATCATTTTCCAGAGAGTTCCCCGCATGCGTACAGAATTGTGGTAGTGGTCTCTGAGGGTCGGTTACTTCTTCCAACAATCTTCATCACTTCTGGCAGCCTTTGAAGCACGCGCAGTAGATGCTCATACCAGTTTAATTGGTTCGTTAGCACCAGAGACATAATAATCCTCCTATCCTCCTACTTATCAGTTAGTTTAACTGTAGCCCATCCTGGACACCTGCCATTCCCAGATACTCCTTATCCCTGTGTCCTGTTCTTCTAGACTGTTTTTCTTAAAACTAGGCCAACTATAACGATTTATCTTGTGAGAATTCTTAGTATGTTCTCTAGTTGCACTCTGTTTTTTTTTCTCTATGTATCCTGCACCTCGGTAATTTTCCATTGCTACTGTTACAAAGCCATCAAACTTAACATTACTTAAAACTTCTTATAAAAGTTTCTATATCCCATTTTGTGATTTTGTGCCTCTTTGTCTCATCCTTTAGTCAATGATCTCCAGTTACAGGACTCCTAGGAAAATACATGAATAAATAGACTCTGTGTGAAGTAGAGATCTTGGAGTGTTCATTCTCCTTGATAAGCGTGTGGTTATCACAGGGTGAAGAAGCATTAATGTTAGTGCTCGAGATGCTGTGATCTGCATCTAGCATCATGAAATTCAAGATTTCTCCCAGTTGTGCTGTGTGTCAATGTTGACTATTGGTCAGGTTTCACCTTGCTTACCTTCTGCAGAGCGTAAGGAAGGAAGTACAGAGCATCCTCAATAGTATGAAGGCTTACTTTTTTGAAGTCCTACTAATGAGAATTGTGTTTGCTTCACAGAATACAATTATTTTGTCAAATCTCCCTTCAATCTGCTTGCGCCCACAATAGGCCTTTATGCTTCTTCCTATTTTGCTCCGTGTTGCTGCTAGGAAACCACTCATCCACATCTGAGAAGCACAATTAAGTGTCCCTGATACAATAGAGCTTCCATTACATGCCAATATAAAGAAGACATCAAAAGGGTTCATAAAATAAGCTTCAAGGTTGGCAAGGATATTCAGGATGGGTACTTCATGTCTAAGAATGTGCTGGTACATTGAGTGGCTCGTGTCTTCTTAATGAGAAGGCATATGTCTTCATAATAAGGAGGTTTGGCAGCCTTTGAAGCATGCTATTTCCAGCAAGCTCAGGGACACCAAATGAAGGATCTTCTCTTCATGTATTTTTTCCCTTCTTACATTGTACGCTGTCCCATGTGGAGCTCAGATGAATGCATCTTCCAGTCTGTTGGTAGAACAACGTCTAAAAGGCATCTGTCTTCTGGGAAAAGGGTTATATCCGTTCTTGTAGTTACAGTGAACATTAGATCAAAGACCACTGCTTGTATTGGTTTTGTTGTTGGTTGTTGGTTTGGTTTTGAGGTGTTTTTGCATGTATTTCCTCTACTTCTTCATGAGTAAAGGTCTTAAAGTGTGTCAATGTTAGCAGCTTAACGTTAATCGAGAGTGTTCTTTTTAAGGACATCTCCCTTACATCCCACTGTCATACCTTGGTTTGCATCTCAAGCAGGCTCAGAGCATGTGAGCTGGTCTGTTTCGGGCAGGACACAAACCTGATGTAGTCTACAGGTGGGCTACTTTGCTTCTACCACAACTGAGTGGCATTGATTTCGTGAGACCAGGCTAAAGCTCAGACACACTGGGCATATGCCTCAAACCACTTACAGCGTTGTTGCTTAGCACCATCTACTTTATACTGCAGATACATTGATGTTGTTGATAAAGCCATTATTTTCTAAAAGACCTGTTTGTCTCTGGATAAGTCCCTAAAAGCACCACGAGCTCTGCTTGATTTGCAAAAATAGTCTCCTCTCGAGCTTTCAGTTTGATTGAAATGTGTTACCAAGCCCCAAACTATTCAAATACTGGCTTTTTCTTTCCAGTTATAGAATCATAGAATAGTTAGGGATGGAAAGGACCTTAAGATCATCCAGTTCCAATCCCCCTGCCATGGCCAGGGACACCTCACACTAAACCATGGCACCCAAGGCTCTCTCCAACCTGGCCTTGAACACTGCCAGGGATGGAGCATTCACAGCTTCCCTGGGCAACCCATTCCAGTGCCTCACCACCCTCACAGTAAAGAACTTCCTTATATCCAATCTAAACTTCCCCTGTTTCAGTTTTAACCCATTACCCCTTGTCCTATCACTACAGTCCCTAATGAAGAGTCTCTCCCCAGCATCCCTATAGGCCCCCTTCAGATACTGGAACGCTGCTATGAGGTCTCCACGCAGCCTTCTCTTCTCCAGGCTGAACAGTCCCAACTTTCTCAGCCTATCTTCATACAGGAGGTGCTCCAGCCCCTGATAATTCTCGTGGCCTCCTCTGGACTTGCTCCAATAGCTCCATGTCCTTTTTATGTTGAGGATACCAGGACTGTAACAGAACTTTGCACTATCTAACAACAAGAGAGGAAGTTAGGTAAATTCTGGGGCTAAAAACACAGTCTGATCATGATTTCATGCAAAACATCAGTCCTGGAGCCCGCACTCACTTCGTTTTGATGCACGGTTCTATTTCTAGCTGCCTTCTGCATCACAAAGAAACCAAAGAGCACCAAATGGGTTTTCATGTCCACTTCAGTTGTTGATGTCTCTCAGTTTGGCAACTAAAGGACTTAATTGCTATGGAATCAGTGTCTTTTGCTTCACTCAATATTGCATCTTTTTCTCCCTTTGCTCAACAGCTTGCAAGTGCAATGGCCACGCGTCCGTCTGCAACACAAATACAGGGAAATGTTTCTGCACCACAAAGGGAATAAAAGGAGATGAGTGTCAACTGTGAGTTCATTTCACTTTCTTATTTGAAATCAAAAGGCTGTGCACATACTGGCATAGAATCCCTGCATTGTTTAATCATTGTATTTGTGATGTATCTGCTGCTCTCTTCCTGCTGACAGTTGACTAACTCCATTGATGGTGCAGCAGGCCGTGCTTCCCCCAGGGGCATGATGTGAACAAAATGATTTCCTGAAGATTTCCATTTTTAAGAACATTTCACCCAGGAATGTCATGCAGAAGGGATGGGGTGAAAAGATAATGCCACCACCCCTGCAGACACAGAATGATAGACTGACTGGTTTGGTCTGGAAGAGACTTTAAAGCTCATTCAGCTCCAACCCCTGCCACGGGCAGAAAACCTTCCATTAGAGCAGCTTGCTCCAAGAACCTGTGTCCAACCTGGCCTTGAACACTGCCAGGGATGGGAGCTTCTCTGGGCACCCTGTGCCAGCGCCTCAGCACCCTCACAGGGAAGAGCTTCTGCCTAAGAGCTCAGCTCAGTCTCCCCTCGGGCAGGTTCAAGCCATTCCCCTTGGCCTGTCCCTACAGGCCCTTGTCCCAAGCCCCTCTCCAGGTTTCCTGCAGCCCCTTTAGGCACTGGAGCTGCTCTAAGGTCTCCCCTTCAGGAGCCTTCTCTTCTCCAGGCTGCCCCAGCCCAGCTCTCCCAGCCTGGCTCCAGAGCAGAGCTGCTCCAGCCCTCGCAGCATCTCCATGGCCTCCTCTGGCCTCGCTTCACTTCACTTTATCCATCTAATTGTTAGATTTTTATGGTCTGTGCACTCTGATGCTGTTCTGGGGGAGTGTAAATATACCTGAAATAAGAATTTGACGTTCTAGCATTTTAATTGAGCAGTTTGAGAGCAACAAATGTGCTGGAGGGTTCCCTGTAACAGAACAGAGATGCTTTTAGTGTAATGTTAGTGGAAATAATTTCATTCCAAATAATTTCATTGCCAGGTTTATTTTTAAAGGCTTGTTCTCATGAATAAATGTTTATAGGACTAGATCCTGGAATAGCCATAAATGTAAATGGAGACTTTAGGTTCTGAGTGTTTTAATCCAGTTCTGTGCGTTGTGAAGAGCTAATCATGAATCATAGAATGGGTTAGGTTCGAAAGGACCTTAAAATCATCTAGCTCCAACCCCCGTGCCATGGGCAGGCATACCACACACTACACCACGTCATACATACATTCCAAGTGATGCAAAGGTTAATAGCCAGGATTTTATATCTAATTCTTGCTGCATAACTGGTTGTGACCATGGAATTTCTGGTCTGGACTGTGGTCGTGACCATGAACTGGAGCAGTCCAGTATAGCTCCGAAATGCATCTATTGCTTTTAATTGCATGCTGTTATATATCTGGGTGGTGTTTTCTGGTTTGTAGTGGCTGGGAATAGATAGAATTAGTGAAAAAAAATCCATTTATTAAAAATACTTGTTCTTTTTAGGTGTGAAGTTGAAAACAGATATCAGGGAAATCCACTTAAAGGAACGTGTTACTGTGAGTACTCTTGGGATTTTATTTCTCCGATATAAAGTGTGTTTGAAGTTTAAAATATCTTCCTTGAAACTAGTTTTGTTTGCCTCTGCACCTATTTAAAATACAGGGGATTAAGGGGAGGATTGAAAACTTCAGTTTTCACAAAAGTATTGTTTAAAGAGACTGAAGGTGCTTCTCTTGATAAGGTTTGTGTGATGATTGGATCTGTAAGAACAAACTTGTGAATGTTTTTCACACGGCTTTGAAATGAAAGCTGGTCTTCTGGAGAATAACACTAAAATACATAGCTAAGAACTCCAACCTAAAGCACGTCTTCAGAGCTTCTGTCAGTGCAAAATAGTGTTGTTTAACATCCTGGTCCGTGTTAGCGTGGGTAAGGTTTCAAACTTGCCACGTTGCCTCTGAAATGAACAGTTGGATTCTTGTGCAACTCCAGAAGATCCTTTGCCAAGATTCAGATTACTAAATGGAAACTCTCCAGCTTCTATTTGCAAATATTAGCAATCAGCTCACTGGCATGCACAGATCTTATATGACTTAAAGATGCAAGTCTCAAATAGTGGGTTTGTGCAACGCAAGTTATCCTCATGCTTTCTTTAGCAGGTTTGAATTCCCCTTCCACAGCCAAGCAAGTGCTCTGATGGCTTCCCACAACAGTCTTGTTGGAGGAACCATAGAGTCATAGAATGGTTTGGGTTGGAAAGGACCTTAAGATCATCCAGTTCCACCCCCTTGCCACAGGCAGGGTTGCCTCATGCTAGACCATGTCACCCAAGACTCTGTCCATGACCAAATTCATTGCTGCCAGTGGGGATAAAGTGGGCAAAAAGGGGGAAACAGGCAGAGCATAACAACTCTTACAGGGATAACCTCGTGTTATAACCTGACTTGGTTTTCTTCCTTGAAAATTCCTTAGTGTTCACAGATGTTTTAGGTAGAATGTGGTGTGTGTCAGAAGGCCATCCAGCTTGTATCTATCCAACAAGGGGTCTCCAGGAGGCAATAAGAGAAAAATAACACCTAGTGTATAGCTTTGTATGTATTATTGCTTGGAATCTCTGCAAGGCTTTGGGAATACATATGAGTCCTACAAGTGTGTTTTAATAGAAGGATGCTGAGACTGGTGGCTGTATCCCCAGACTGGCTGTGCACTGTTGGTTGACAGAGAGGTGATAACCCAGCCTGAGACAGACATAAGTATAGGAGAGCATAGACCAGAAAGTGGTCCTGGCATGCTTGAGGATGATGTGATTTGGAGTAGGATTATAGCTTGGTCCATTTTCAAGCTGCTGCTCTGTAGAAATCCCCCCTGTGAAGTCCAGTGGTGTATAGAGACATCTAATGTGTGGAACTTTGTTCCCTCCAAGCAGGGATTACACATCTGTTTCATTGTTGTAGTATTCCCTTAGAACATAGAGGTATTGTAGTAAGGAAATAGTAAATGTCTTGGCATGCTTATGCTTTTTACAATGTACTGGTGTGAATGTTCATTTAGGTTGAGGCTGGTGGCTCTTGCTTGGAAAATCGAAGTTGCCTCTTTTACCTCTCTAGGCTTAACTTAAATCTTTGTCCCTTTTGTGTTGGGAGTCATTTGTAGCAGTGTGGTGACTCCTGGTTGTGCTCTCAGTGCATGAAGCACTCCAGCAGCATCATGCCTTGCATTGCATGATGCAATGTACTTTGGTTTATTCTAAGACACGGGATAATTCTCTCCATGCCTTCCTTACAGATACTCTCCTCATTGACTATCAGTTCACCTTCAGCCTTTCTCAAGAGGACGATCGCTATTACACAGCAATCAACTTTGTAGCAACACCTGAAGAGGTAAATTCTCTACTTTCCCTTTAAACTTCATCCTTTGGGTGTATTCTTGCCCTCTCCTAGCCACGGAGGTGACGAATCGTTACAGCTCTATGAGTCTTCAGCTTTAGTCTGGTGATGTGCATGTGTGTCCAGTTCCACAAAGCAAGAACCTTTTGACCTCCTTTTGGCCATACAGATTCAAATCTTCAAGGTAGAATTTCACAAGGAACCACAATTGATTCTTCACAGTTGTTAGAACCTCTGAGCTACTCCAGTTTTGCTTATTCACCCCATACTTTGTGTCTCAGTTCATATTCTATGCATGTGACTTGTTCTGTCCTTTATTATGCTTTCCTTGGGGAGGAGAATACTGCTTTCAGAAAATGTAAATAGCTTTTTGCTTGATGTCTTTTCCTCATGTCAGTAACAAATTCCAAGATTATTTTATTTTTCACTGAAGATTAGTGAAGAAACAGTGAAATGTCTTATCCTAAAAATGGGGTTTCTTTTTCTTCCCTCCCTAGCAAAACAGAGACCTAGACATGTTTATCAATGCATCGAAAAACTTCAACCTCAACATCACTTGGTCCACGAGTTTTGCAGGTAAAATGAGCATGATCCTAGTTGCTTGGTAGCTTGTTTCAGTTATCAGTTTCTGAGAAACACAGATTTAATTGGGGAAACAGTTTTGGTTTCTAACCTATGAACTTGTTTAGTTCTTAAATGTTAGGCCTGGAGGCAAAGGTAGACTGTTAGCAAGAACTGTGTTTTCCATCTTAATAGTGTATGTTGGAAACATCACAGGTGCCAATTTGATTTCTAGCAATGCAGTAGGTTGGCATGTACAGTGTCAGTTGTGGAGATCTCACAGCAGCTTTCCTGTATCTGAAGGGGGCCTATAAGGATGCTGGGGAGGGGCTCTTCATTAGGGACTGTAGTGATAGGACAAGGGGCAACAGGTTAAAACTGAAACAGGGGAAGTTTAGATTGGATATAAGGAAGAAGTTCTTTCCTGTGAGGGTGGTGAGGCACTGGAATGGGTTGCCCTGGGAAGCTATGAATGCTCCATCCCTGGCGGTGTTCAAGGCCAGGTTGGACAGAGCTTTGGGTGCCGTGGTTTAGTGTGAGTGTCCCTGCCCATGGCAGGGGGGTTGGAACTGGATGGTCTTAAGGTCCTTTCCAACCTTAACTGTTCTATGACAGTAGTTTAGAATAGGCATGTTCAGATGAGTAATTGATTTTATACCATTAGAATCTGGGATGATTTGCCTTTTTGCTTGTCATTTAAAATACGCATTGAAACATGTTTTCTTGCTGTCTAACATTTGAAACAGCTGGCACGCAGGCTGGGGAGGAGATGCCAGTTGTGTCAAGAACCAATATAAAGGAATACAAGGACAGCTTCTCCAATGAGAAGTTTGATTTCCGCAACAATCCGAACATCACTTTCTTCGTCTACGTCAGCAATTTCACCTGGCCAATAAAAATCCAGGTAGGAGCTGTTGCTGTGTGTATCATCACTTGCAAGTACGTTTTGGTTTCTCTCCAGGCAGTTTGCTCTGCTCTTTGTGGTCCAAGCTCTCAGTACAGGCCTGCAGCAGGCAAAAGGGTTGATGTTCCTGATGAAGAGCAAAAACGTTGTCATCCTCTGATGTTGTGTTCTCACCTAATGTTGCGTCATCTTCTGATGTTGCCTCAGCCCCACTGGGCTGTGTTTCACTGGAGGAGGGTGTTAGTTTTCTTCGTAGTAGCTGGTTAATAGGGCTGTGTTGTGGATTTGTGCTGGGATCAGTGTTGCTAACTCGGGGATGGTTTTGTTACTGTTGAGCAGTGCTTACACAGGGTCAAGGCTTTTTCTGCTCCTCGCCCCCCCCACTAAGGAGGCTGGGGGAGGCATGAGGAGTTGGGGAGGGACACAGCTGTGACACAAGGGATATTCTAAACTGGATGGCATCACTCTCAGTGTATAATGCTGGAAGAAGGAGGAAGGGAGCATATTTGACCTCAGCTGGAGTATTGTGTGCAGTTCTGGTGTCCTCAACATAAAAAGGACATGGGACTGTTGGAACAAGTCCAGAGGAGGCCACGAGGATGATCAGGGGCTGGAGCACCACCCATATGAAGACAGGCTGAGAAGGTTGGGGCTGTTCAGCCTGGAGAAGAGAAGGCTGCGTGGAGACCTCATAGCAGCCTTCCAGTATCTGAAGGGGGCCTATAGGGATGTTGGGGAGGGACTCTTCATTAGGGACTGTAGTGACAGGACAAGGGGTAATGGGTTAAAACTGAAACAGGGGAAGTTTAGATTGGATATAAGGAAGGAGTTCTTTACTGTGAGGGTGGTGAGGCACTGGAATGGGTTGCCCAAGGAAGATGTGAATGCTCCATCCCTGACAGTGTTCAAGGCCAGGTTTGACAGAGCCTTGGGTGCCATGGTTTAGTGTGAGGTGTCCCTGCCCATGGTTGGGGGGTTGGAACTGGATGATCATAAGGTCCTTTCCAACCCTAACTATTCTATGATTCTATGATTTGGAGTGATGGCATTTGTCTTTGCAAGTCTCTGTTACCTGTGATGGATTCCTGCTGTCCTGGGTATGGCTGAACACCTGCCTGTGATGGGAAGTGCTGAATGAACTCCTTGTTCTGCTTTGCTTGTGCACAGCTTTTGCTTTACCTGTTAAATTGTCTTTACCTCAACCCACAGGTTTTCTCCCTTTTACCTTCCCATTTTCTCCTCATCCCAGCGGGGGGAATGAGTGAGAGGCTGCATGGGGCTTGGTTGGCAACTGGGGTTGAAACGCAACACCAGTAGTTCTAAATGAAATGAAGTAGGATGCTCACTTACTAACAGGGCTATGTTCTAACAAGGTCTCTGACTTTAAATGTGTAGATACTGATGTTAGAGACAACAGAGTCATGCAGCCAAAACCCAAGCCTGGAATGAGGAAAGAGAGGAAATGTTCTTACTGTCTCTTTTTAACATCTTGCTCTCAAAAGTCACAGCTCAAGGGCCATCCCCTCTCTCCTTTTGCTGCCCAAGACTGGTGGTACCTGCAAGAATGAGATGAAGCTCATTCTTTCCCTTAATTCAGTGCAGTCTGTTAACACACACATTGCCTGAGGTGTCAGACTGACTGTGATGATAAGGCTAGTGCTGATAAAGCTTGGTTGATCATGAAAGCACTCATAGATCACAGAGTGCAATCACAGAGACTCTGCAACTGCTGCAGCAGCTAATAATTCAGAGCAACCTCAGCCACCTTCTTGCTCTGGGCTAACTCAAGAGTCAGCTCATAGTGTACTCAGTGATACAGGAGCCCTTTGAAAGGCAGAAGTACTTCTCAGCTCAAGTGAGACTGTGTGTATTTGGATTCTTCCTTTTTAAGTAGCCTAGTCAAAAATGGGGACCAAATTCTTCCAACTTCACCCTTTTTCAACCAATTAATCTACAAAAGTTGATAACTTTACATTAATTTCCTTGATATCTCAGACCTATCAGTCACACGGTCTCACCGTAGGGGTCACTTCCAACAAGGATCATTCACATCGTAATATTGAGCAAGGAAATGAGGTCCGCCTGGAAAAAAGATCTTTGTAATAATATTTTTCAAGGTATTTCCTGAACTTTTTGAAAACTCTTAGGAATACTTGTGCTGCATCACATTGTGGTTTAAGTACTGATAAACTTTGTCTTGTTTCTTGGTCCATTTGATAAGCTGACTTAGGGCGGGATTTTGGTGCTTTGGAATGTCACTTATAATATTGGCAGTTATCTTCCAGCTGGAGAGTTCTTACTTGCACATTGGTAAAGTCTTGGTTCATTGTCAAATCCTCATTTTTACATGTGGGGGAGTTTGCAAGAGCTGGAGGTAAAAACCTTTATGTCACTGGATACTCAAGCAGTGAGTATTATGCCTCATCGTTTTCATTTAAGTACTGCTTCCAATAGAGAAAGTAACATTCTGTGTACAAAGCTGAGCACTATGATTCACTTAATGGTTTATTTAAATAGTCAGGCTTCTCTTTCATCAAATTGGCAATCACAGGGGTCAGAAAAAAGTCGTATTTTATGTAACTTAAGAGGTTCTGTTGGCTGATGGTTACTTTCCATAAGCAGTACTGTACTGTACCTTCCCCTGATTTATCTGTTTGCTATTTCTTGATGCAGAGAGTGTGTTTGGACTTTGTAGGTGTTTAAGAGCAGTGCTGCCTCCTGTCCCTGAAGTCCCTTAAGCTCTCCTGTGTTTACTGCAGCCTCCACCCCACCTGTACTTAGAATTAATTTCTGCTAGCTTTTCCTGTGTCAGTGTTGTCATTGAGCTTATATGTCCTCTCCATCGTCTTGTTTGTCTCCTGCTTCCCTGGATGAATTTGGACAGGTCATATCCTCTCTCAGCCTTTAGCATTTGTTGGCTTGAGCAAGACAAACCCTCTTCATCTCATCCTGTGTAACAGGATGTTCAGGTTCACTTGCCTCATTTGTTTTTCCACTGCACTCACATTAATCTCTCTTGTATAGCTTTGGTCAGCCATGTGTAAGGCCGTGTAGATCGGGTCTTGCTGCTGCTTTGCACAGTGGTATCTCTGGGTTCTTACAGACCTTACTAGATCTAGTTTGTACTGTACTAGAGCTATTTTAGTTTGCTCATTCTCATGGCTGCAGTATTTAATTGTCCTTATTCATTTTCATATGGACTTAATACACCTTGTTCTTTCACATCCTTTGTTTCCAGATGATGAGCTTCCAGTCTTGGTAGCAAACGTTCCTCTCTGTCCCTAATAGCATCATAGAATTCCAAACTGTTTTGTGTTGGAAGGGACCCTAAAGCTCCTCCAGCTCCAACCCCTGCCACGGGCAGGGACCCCTTCCACTGGAGCAGCTTGCTCCAAGCCCCTGTGTCCAACCTGGCCTTGAGCACTGCCAGGGATGGGGCAGCCACAGCTTCTCTGGGCACCCTGTGCCAGCGCCTCAGCACCCTCACAGGGAAGAGCTTCTGCATAAGAGCTCAGCTCAGTCTCCCCTTGGGCAGGTTCAAGCCATTCCCCTTGGCCTGACCCTACAGGCCCTTGTCCCAAGCCCCTCTCCAGCTTTCCTGCAGCCCCTTTATGCACTGGAGCTGCTCTAAGGTCTCCCCTTCAGGAGCCTTCTTTTCTCCAGGCTGCCCCAGCCCAGCTCTCTCAGCCTGGCTCCAGAGCAGAGGTAAATTGAAAAATGTTTTCTCCCTGGTGTTACTGGACAGTATCAGCAGAGCTGAAGATCATCTGGGTGTGCTTTCTTGCGGTTCTTTTCCATATCTTTATTGATGGACCCCTTCAACTTCATCAGCAGATTGTGATATTAGCAGTCTTTCTTTTTGGGTCTGTGTATTTAATGGATATATCAGCAAAGGGCTGTCCAAACAAACTAACTGCTATCCTTTTTAAGTCCTATGATTCTTGAAATAATCTTCACCACCTTCATCTTGCCCAGGAATTCCCTGTGTATGGATATTTATAATGAAATTTGAGTAACTCAGCTGTACCGCTTAGGTCTATACAATTAATTCTTATTACAGACAGAAAATGCTGGGCTGGTGTGGCACAGATCATTGTTGTCAGTTCTATTGCTTGATGGTTTTGGTCTTTCTTCTACTATCTCAGTTCTTTTATTCAAAACTTGCCCTGAAGCCTTATGTAATGTTGAGGTCTTGGAAGCATGGATATCTAGATTCTCCTTTCTCCGCTAAATACAAGCTTTAAGTGTTCCATAGGGCCATGCTCAGCTGGAAGGTTCCTTTAACAGTCTTGCTATCAGAGGTGTTATTTCACATGCCATTTGGAGTGCTGGGATGCTCACTGTCTGCTTTCACTGACTTCAAACACATAGAAACATCTAAGTTCTGTCTCCACCTTGGTTGTGTCTTCTTATAACCTCCTTCCCATTCAGCGCTTTGCCAGTGTCCTTGTCCTTAATGAAAGTGCTAAATTAGCTTTAGGGATGCAGCTGACTGATTTTAATCTCCTGCCTATCCTCAGAGCATGCTCTCTTCCCCTTCCCTTTCTGGTCTCCTTTACTTGTGTGCCTGAAACATCTCATGCTGTTTTGCTTACCCTTTGCTGGGGTCTAGCACAGTCTGACATTTGGCCGTTCTTATTTTCTCTCTGTACTACTTGCTGGATTCTAAGGCATTGCTAATGAATCCTTTCCTCTCCATAATAAGTAGACTCTTCAGTTGTTCCTGATGTCCTTTTTAAGGTTAGTTCTGAGAAAACAGCTTTCAAATAGTTTTGCATCTTTGACCTGAGAGAAGTACTTAGATGGCTGCTTTCCTATTCCCTATCTCCTCAGTCCACTTGATTTTACTGTCGTATTTAATTTCTCATAGTTAAAGAGTGAACTTTGATTCTCTTACAACACTTACCTCATTTTATCCTTAATTTAATGAGTGTGCCTGTGTGCACTCAATCCAAGGTAATTTTGTAGCACCAGCTCTTCTTAATGCCCTTGTTACTTGC